AGGGCACCACACCACTGCACGTGGCCGCCAAGGCCGGGCAGATCCTGCAGGCAGAGCTGCTGGTGGTCTACGGTGCCGACCCTGGGGCACCCGATGTGAACGGCCGGACCCCCATTGACTATGCCAGGTGAGGGCAGGGAAGGGGGTCACCCCTGCCTGCACCCCCGCCTAGGGTGGGCATCACCCCTGCTGGCCCTCCCACAGGCAGGCAGCCCAGCACGAGCTGGCAGAGCGGCTGGTGGAGTGCCAGTACGAGCTGACCGACCGGCTGGCCTTCTACCTCTGCGGCAGGAAGCCGGGTGAGTGAGGGGGTCCTGGGGTGAGGGGGGTACCCTGGAGGGAGCACGTGGCCCTGCTCACCGCCCCTCTCTTTGTGCAGACCACAAGAATGGGCACTACATCATCCCGCAGATGGCTGACAGGTGAGTGCCTGGTGCCCGTGGCCCCGCTGCCCTGTCCCATGTCCCCCCCAGCGTCCCTGCTGGGCTGAGGGGGGACCCCGGTCACTGGAGCGTCCCTGGGGGGTGGGGGGTCGGCGTGCCCGCGCGTTTAACATCCGCCTTTATCCTATTCTTCCCTCCGCTGCCTTCTCCGGAGCGCAGGGTGCGCCCAAAGTGCATGGCACAGAGGTATTGTCCGCTCGGCTCTCGGCTCCGGGGGCCCCCCATGCTGCTGGCATGGGCCCCCCCTGCAGCCCTGGCCGCTCGGCCCAGCCCAGCACCGGGGGGGCACTCGGGGAGGGGGGTCCCGCCCGCCCCCTTCCACTTCATCCCCCTGTGCCTGCCTGCCAGCCCTGCTTGGTGAAGCCCCCAATGCCTGAGGGGGGGGTCCCTGTCTTGGTGGGGTGCAGCTGGGGACTGTGTTGGTGGGAACAGGCCAGGAATAACCCCCACTTTTTGTTTCCCCCCTCCCCGTACCCCCCAGCCTGGACCTCTCTGAACTGGCCAAGGCAGCCAAGAAGAAGCTGCAGGCGGTGAGTGGGGGCCAGGGCAGGGCTGGGGGGTGTCCCGCCTGCCCCTCTCATCCTGCCTGACACTGTCCCCTGTACTGCTGCAGCTCAGCAACCGCCTCTTCGAGGAGCTGGCCATGGACGTGTACGACGAGGTGGACCGTCGGGAGAACGACGCGGGTGAGCGGGGGGCGCGGGGTGCAGCCCCCCAGGGCCGGGGCGGGCGTCACGGCGCGGGGGAGGAGCGGCCGGCGGGGCCGCGGCTGAGCCCTGCGCTCCCCCCGATCTGGACGCGTCCGCCGGGACCGCAGGCCCCTCCTTCTTCATTCCTCCGGCCGGGAAGGTTTGCTCAGCGCGAGGGGCCGCCGCTGGGTGCCAGGGCTGGGGTGCTGCCGGAGGTGGGTGCCGGGATCCCCCAGGGATGGGGTCAGCCTGCAGTGGTGCCCCTGATCTGGGGGGTGGCAGGGTGGGGGCAATCCCGTTTCAGTAGCAGGGTGGGTGCCAACAGACGTGTCAAACTGTCTTCCCACCAGCTGGGGGGTGCTGAGCTGGTGCCTGAAAGGGTGAAGAGCACGGGGGGGTCCTGTTAGTGGGTTATGGGGGGACCCCAGCCCTGCTGGGTGGCTGGGGGAGGCGATTCCCGTCAGCCTGGCCAGGCTCCACTCCCAACCCCAGCAGGCTGGCCCTGCGCCCGCGCCTGCGTCCTGCCGGCTCCGGGCCCTGCAGCCTGCTTGTCCGGGGGGGTCCAGCCCCTGTGTCCCCCGGGGTCTGACACCAGGTGCCTTCCTGCAGTCTGGCTGACAACGCAGAACCACAGCACGCTGGTGACAGAGCGCAGCGCCGTCCCCTTCCTCCCTGTCAACCCCGAGTACTCAGCCACGCGCAACCAGGTGAGGCCCCCTCTAGGCCACACGACCCCCCTGTGCACCCAGACCTCTCTCACCCCCTTTTTCCCACTCCTGTCCCCAGGGCCGGCAAAAACTGGCCAGGTTCAACGCCAGGGAGTTTGCCACTTTGCTCATCGACATCCTCGGGGAAGCCAAGCGCCGGCAGCAAGGGAAGAGTCTGCTCAGCCCCACAGGTGAGGCACGGAGGGCAGCAAGGTGGGGCTGAGCACTTCCCCCTGCCCTGTGCTCAGCACCCACCCTGCTCTCCCCAGACGCCCTCGACTACTCGCTGCGGAGCCAGAGTGACCTGGACGACCAGCACGACTACGACAGCGTGGCCTCTGACGAGGACACGGACCAGGAGCTGCTGCGCAACGCCTCCCGCAACAACCGCGCCAGGGTGAGCCCGGGCCCCGGCTCGACCCCCGCCCAGACCCCACCTCTGGGATCCTGGCGCTGAGCTCCTCTCCCTGCAGAGCATGGACTCCTCCGACCTGTCAGATGGCCCCATCACGCTGCAGGAGTACCTGGAGGTGAAGAAGGCTCTGGCTGCCTCTGAGGCCAAGGTGCAGCAACTGATGAAGGTGAACAACAGCCTGAGCGATGAGCTGCGCCGGCTGCAGCGCGAGGTGGGTGTGGGGTCAGTAGGACTGACCTCCTCAGCGTACCCCCCTCTCCTAGCTGATGCCTTCCCCCTTCTCCACGCTGCAGATCCACAAGCTGCAGGCAGAGAACACGCAGATCCGGCAGCAGACTGGTCCTGCACATCCAACCCCGGCCCCCAGCGAGCGGCCAGAGCACGGGCACCCCCCGGGCACGGCCCCCCCACACCGCCGGGACCGCCAGGCCTTCTCCATGTACGAGCCGGGCTCGGCACTGAAACCCTTCGGGCAGCCAGTGGAGGAGCTGGTGACCCGGCTCCAGCCCTTCAGCCCCGGCGTGAGTGTGCTGGGCTGGGTGGGAGGGTTTTGGGGTGCAGCAGTCCCCCCAGCCCCGTGGGGTGCTGGGTCCCATCCCTGCGGGGCCGTAACCTTTCGTGTGTCACCAGGAGGTGGAGGACGAGGCTCTGTACTCCATGCACATCCCGGCCAGCGTGTACCGGGTAAGGGGGCCGCAGCGGGGGCGGCTCCTGCATGGGACATGGTGGCTGTCGCCTGCCCAGGATGTGGCCTTTGGGATGTCCTGTCCCCCACCGCCCTGCACCCCCCTGGGTCAGGCCGGGGACCTCCCCAAGGGACAGCAGCTGCGGAATGTTCCTGCATGCAGGGTGGCGGTGTCCCCTGTGCTCGTCCTTCCCTGCACGTCACCGGGGTCGGCTCCACACCCTACTGCACCCCGTTCAGCATGGGCATCTCCTCTTTTCCCTCTCCAGATCCGGAAAGGTCCGTCTGCCTCCTCGGTGCCCTTCCCTCCATCCTCCCCGCTGCTGTCCTGCCCGCCTGATGGTGCCCGACACATGGTGATGTATCAGGGAGGGGGAGCAACCCTTGGGGTGGGGAGACTCCAGACCCTATGTGGGGATGGGGCTGGGCAGGGCTTGACACTGCTCCTCTCCTCTCCAGAGCAAGCTGGACCGGCATGGCAGCGGCACTGACAGTGACTACGACAACACACAGGCCGGTGAGGTTCTGATCAGGTGAGTGGTGGGGCTGGGGGCTGCAGAGGGTACGTGGGGACACAGGGACAGGGGGCTGATACTGACCCAGGGCGGTTGGTTGGTCTCTGCAGCATGGAGGGGAAGCGGTATGTGGAGCTGAGCAAGGATGAGGATTTCCCCCACGAGCTGGACCCGCTGGACGGGGAGCTGGACCCCGGCCTGCCCAGCACGGAGGACGTCATCCTCAAAACTGAGCAGGTCACCAAGAACATCCAGGAGCTGCTGCGGGCAGCGCAAGAGTCCAAGCATGATAGGTAGGACTGAGGCACAGCCTCAGGGTCCTTCTGGCCACCCAGACCAGGGGTGGGGCCGTGCCTTGTCACCCTCCATGGTCAGGAGCCACTGTCCTCCATGTTACTCACCCTTTGTCCTTGCCCCCAGCTTTGTGCCCTGCTCAGAGAAGATCCATTCAGCTGTGACAGAGATGGCATCACTCTTCCCTAAGGTAGGAGGAGCGGTGTGTCCCTGGGGTGGCTGTGGTCCCCACCAGACACTGTCAGCCCCGAGCACAGGTTCTGACGCCGGTCCTGTGCTCTGCCGCAGAAACCAGCACTGGAGACGGTGCGGAGCTCCCTGCGGCTGCTCAACGCCAGCGCCTACCGGCTGCAGAGCGAGTGCCGCAAGACTGTGCCCCCCGAGCCCGGCGCCACCGTGGACTACCAGCTCCTGACCCAGCAGGTCATCCAGTGTGCCTACGACATCGCCAAGGCCGCCAAGCAGCTGGTCACCATCACCACTCGTGAGAAGAAGCAATGAGCGCCAGCCCGTGTTCCCCCCATGTCCCCAGGCCTCCGCACTCTCCATGTCTCCCTTCCCTCCGGCAGCAGCCGGCACCTGGGGCGAGCGTGGCTGCAAGTGGCCTTTTTGGGGAGCCGAGGTGCGGGGTTCCTCGTGCCCCCCGTGCCATCAAGGAGCTGGTGTTCAGCCTGCGGGGTAGGTGCCTGCATCCCCCTGTACAGCCCCCTGCCCACCCTGCAGCACGCGCCTAACTTATCCTGTACATAGCCTCTGTAGCTGTCTGTGGCGGCGGTGGCCTTGTACCCCCACTCCCCACAAAACCCCTCTCTGGGTGGCCGGTACCCCCGAGGCCACCCACGGCATTACACTGGACTGGGGCGCCCGCGGGCCCCCCCTCCCCGGGCGTCCTGAACCCCTCCCCGGGCGTCCTGCCCCGTGCCGGGGCCGCACTCCCCACTGTAAGATGTGTCCTTGTACATTTGTATCAATAAAGGTGTGAGCATTGCACGGGCGCCCGGCCCCGGCTCCTGCGCCCATGGAGGATCCGTGGCTGCAGGGGCTTCAACCCCTGTGTCGCCAGGCAGGGCTTGGCCACGTGTCCCTCCCGTTTCACCCAGTCCCCTTGGCCCTGCTGGCGGCCGCTCACGCCATCCCCGGCACAGCCCTGCTGTTTGCCCAGCCCCGGGGCTGGGCTTTCCTAGCACGGCCCCGCCGTCGCTCTGCGAGCCGCCGACCCTCGGGGCTGCCGGCGGAGGCTCCTGCCGCCTCCATGCTGTCCCCGGAGGCTTTGGTGGCCGCAGCTGCCGTGCTCATGGGGCTGGGTCTCCTAGCTTGGTGCCTTTGGGCAGGGAGGCTGGAGGTGCCTGGAGACGTGGGAGAGGAGGACGAGGAGGAGGAGGAGGAAGAGGAGGGGATCCCCTTCATGGCCGAGGAGGGCTCGGGGCACTGCCGGCTGCTGTGCAAGCCCTCGGCTCTGGCCCAGCACCTGGTGCGGAGCTTGGGGCGGTCAGCGGCGCTGCGGGGGGGACGCTGGCCTTGGCCGTGCTGGCCCCAGCTCCAGATGCTGTGGCAGCTCCTGCAGCCACCTGAGCCGGAGCCGCTGGTGGCCCGTGAGCTCCTGCAGCTGTCTGACGCTGGGCTGGTGGCCCTGGACTGGTTGGTGGGGCCGTGGGGGGCTGCGGGTGGCGGCGGGGGGGTCTCCAGCCCAGTGCTGCTGCTCATTCCCAACGCTGCCGGGAAGGTGACGGGGGGGCTGCTGCAGCTGGGGCTGCGGGCGCTGGAGCGGGGCTTCATCCCCGTCATCTTCAACCGCCGGGGCCACAACGGCTGCCCCCTCACCACCCCCCGGCTCCAGCCCTTCGGGGACCCCGGGGACCTGCGGGAGGCTGTGACCTACCTGCGGTGTCGGCACCCCTCTGCCTCTCTGCTGGCCGTCAGCGAGGGCTCGGGCTCGGGGCTGCTGCTCGCCTACCTGGGCGAGAGCGGCTCCTCCAGCCGCCTGGCCGCCGCCGCCTGCCTCTCCCCCATCTTCCGTGGCCGGGACTGGTTTGAGGCCAGGATGCCCTGGCTTTACGAGTGGCCGCTGCTCCTCCACCTCAAGCAGGGATTGAGCAGGTCAGTGCAGTCCCTTGGGCTTGGGGAGGTGGATGGGGGTACCCTGGGAACCCCTCGGTCATCCCTGAGGGTGCGCATGGGGTGGGTGCTGCTGCTGACACCGGCAGCCCAAGTGCAGGGGCAGAGGTGCTGAGGGCAGCAAAATGTGCTGGTTAATGAACACCAGCCTGGAGCCGGCTGCCATGGGGCCAGCTGGGCCACCACATGTGTCCCCAGCCTGGCTGGGGCTGCGGCAGCATCTTGGGGTTCCTGAGCTGGGAGATCTGGGGCAGGGTCTCACAACTTTTCCTGGGAGGAGTTGGTGAAGCCCCTGTTTGGTTTTGGACCCTGAGGTGTGAGTGGGGCTGGCCCTTCTCCCTGCACTGCCCCTTGTTCCCAACACCTGTCCCTCTGGTTGGCCCTGTGGGGGGACTGTGATGCCAGCCCACAGCTGGGCTGGGGGCTGTGACTGCTGCTGTCCCTTCCCAAGGGATCTGGGTTCTCTGTTGCCCAACACAGCCAGGCTTGAGTGGACCAGGCACTGGCTGAGACAGGAGACAGACTGCCCTGGGCCAAGGCATTGAGCAAGTGGGCACTTCCCTGGGGGGTGCTGAGAGCTTGTGGGGGCAAAGAGACCTTGCAGGTGGGCAGATGGGAGCCAAAAATAGCAGGTAAACCCCAAAACATAGGGACAAACAGGTGACAGGTGATGCTGCAGCAAATCCCAGATGGGTGCAGCAAGATCCAGTGCTTACTGCAGGGATGGGGTACCTGGGGGGTGGGCAGCAGAGAGTCTCCCCCCCCACCTCCCCATTTCCTGATTCCCACTGCAAATGCTGCTGTCACGGTAACGAAGCAGGAGTGCCGGCCGTCTCCCGTTGTCATGGCACCCAGGCTGCGCTGTGGGGACCCTCCAGGATCCCTGGCAAGGGGCTGGGATGAGTCTCCTAAGCCACTCTGGGGTTGGGGCAGCCGAGGTCACCCCTGTTCTTCTGTGTGCGGGGCCAGGACTGTCAAGCAGCCTATGGGCACACAAGCTGGTGACACCCCCATGGCAGCATCCCTGTAGCCCCCAGCTCCAAGTGGCACCCCTATGACCCTCCACCCCCACGGCAGCATGCCCCGGCCCCCACCAACATTCTCTGTGGCTCCCATCCCAGGGAGCATCCCCATATCCCCCCACCCATGGCAAATCCCTGAAGTCCCCAGCAGTGTCCCCATTGCCCCCAGCCCCTGGCAGCATCCCTGCACCTCCAAGCCCACGGCGGCCGCCCCATCCCCGCAGGTACACGGGGGCTCTGGCCGAGGTGGTGGACATGGACAGGCTCCTGGGCAGCCGCTCGCTGCGGGAGCTGGAGGAAACCCTCTTCTGCCGGACTCGGAGCCGCCCCACCAGCTGGGAGAGCTACTGGGAGCGGAACGAGCCCCTGCGCGACGCGGACGAGGCGGCGGTGCCGGTGCTGTGCCTCTGCAGCGCCGATGACCCCGTGCGCGGCCCCCCGGCCCGGAGCCTGCCCAGGGAGCTCTTCCGCAGCAGCCCCTACTTCTTCCTGCTGCTGACCCCGCACGGGGGGCACTGCGGCTTCCCCCGGCGGGGGCCGGGGCGCTGCTGGGCCCACGAGGCCGTGCTGGAATATTTCAGGGCCATGGCAGAGTTCCTGCGGACGGAGGAGAGGAGGAAGGGGCTGCCGCGGCCCCGCAGGTGGGGGGGTCCCCCAGCTGAGCCCCCCGTGTTCACCTGGCAGAGGTCCTACACACGGTAGCCCCCCTGGGGCAGGGTCTCACAAAGGCAGGCAGACACTCCGTGTACTAAAATTACTTTATTACAGTTGATTTTTTTTTTTTTAACATTTCCTTTGCTATGATACAAAGGATACTTACAAACAAAATATTACATATGACCTTATTTTTTTTTTCTCTTCTCTTATTTTCTGACAACTTGGTAACAGCTTTAAATGCACAATCTATACAATTAATACAGGTTATATATGAGCTATAATGTATGTTGAACCAGAAGAATACCAGAATACTGACAATATACTGTACATTAAGCCTTACCAGTTAGTGCTCGTGGCATTTTCTACAAGAAGGAAAACGCACACCTGTAGATTCACTCATACCAGCTGGTGCTACCAGACACGGAAGCAAGAAGGAGTTTAATTCCCCTGGTTAAATCCTTCATGGCCCATCACCGTGGTGCTGAGCCTGGAAACCTCAGACCAGTGTTCATAGTAAAACAGCAGATATGTGTGTGTTTTTTTCTATCTAATGCTCTGTGGCACAGCACGGCGCCGGCCGGGCTTGGCCATACCTGGACGATGCCCCAGAGCAAACAGCCATGGCGCTGGGTGAGCTCTTGCTGGGGAGCTGGACCTCCTTGGGGAAAGGGAGAGGAGGAAGAGGAGGAGGAGAGGAAAAGCAGCAACAGCTTTGCTGTCATCAGCAGGCAGCTCTTGGGTTTGTGCACGTGAAGAGGCGGGAAGAGCAAGCCCAAGGCATGGCGCTCCCGGCACGGCTCCGAGCCCGGCCGCACACGGAGCTCGTGCCCCACAAACCCTGCACGGGGTCGGGCAGCAGCTGCCCTGTGGTCACCTCCTCACCAGGAAAGGTTTGCTTTTGTTTTGCAGCCAAAACCAGAGGTGTGTGGCTACAGGTGTGCACTTCCCCTCCTCCCGCCGGGGGTCTACATCGCACTGATAAGGTTACATTTTTGTTTTTTATTTAAATTTTTTTTTCCTTTTTAAAGCAACCAGCAAGTGAAGCATTTTTTTAGTTGACTGGCAAAAAGACCTGGCATTTGCACAAAAGCTGCAAATGGAAAAGAGCCATCCCCTCCTCCCACCCGCTGCATCCCAGCCCAGAAAAATCCCAAACTGTTGGCGGAAGAAAGAAAAAAAAAAACCACAACAGGGGTGGAGGAGAGGAAGGGGAGGGAGAACAGGTTGGAAAATACCAGGTTTGAGTTAACATTTCCTTGACTTCACACAGTTCTTGTGCAAAAAGAAACAACCCCCCCACCCCAAACCAACAAAAAACCCAAACCCAGAAACATGCTGGAAATAATGAAAACAAATGGAAAGTAATATATAAAATTAAAAATATAAATAGGATGTCTGGCTGACTGGTAGAAGAATAGGTCATTTAGGTTACAAAAAGGAATATACATTCAAGAGGCTCTGAACCCAGTGGGGTAACTGATGTTAAACTTGTGTTAATAGTTAGGCTAGAATTCTCAAGTTTGTCTTTAAAATCTTCACAACACAAGCAAGCTATTTTTAAAAAATATACACTATACACACCTCACACAGCTTCTCCTATCCGTATTACACACGTTACGCTACCCTCCCATCCACTACACCGAGGGGGGGGGTCCCATGGCCGAGGGGCCCGGGGTGTCCCCCCATCCCATCCCGACCCCGCGGTGGCGGTGGGGCAGCGATGGCTGCGGGGCCGGGCAGGTCGCTTGGCCCCTCCACGTCATACCACAACCTTCTCAAAGCATTTACAAGTCACCAAAGGGCTGTAGCCTTTTATGTTATACACACTTCACTTTGCAACGTTAATTATTTACATCAGGGCTGCCCCCCCCCCCCTCCCCCCATCTTTTAGCTGTTTCTAGGCAGGTAAAAAAAATGTTCCTGTTCCAAGCAAGCAGGGGGAAGAGCTGCGGGGGGTTAGGAGGGAAGAAAAGCTGAAGAAAGGAAGCGGGTGGTTTGCTTGCTAAAAGCCAAACCCGTACGCGCACGTCTGCCTCTCCTTCTCTGATCCTTGAATCCTTACAAGCTCCCATTCCCTACAACCTCCAGGACAACCAGACCCGGAGAGCACGGCCTCACTGGTGCTCAGACTCCTCTGCTCGCAGCTTCCCGGGATGCTCAGCACAGCTACTGACTCACAGGCTTGCCTCTGCCACAGGACATGGAGCACAGATCCTGACCATTCCTAGGAGCCCACCCCTCACTCAGCAGCAGGTCTTGCAGGGCAAGCCAGCTGCAGTGGGGCAGGGACACCGGGACCCCCACAAGCCACCGCACTGCACCCCCAAACTCGCCTTTGGCAGCTGCCACCAGCCACAGTCAGGCTCTGCCAGAGCCATGCAGAGGCAGCGGCCGCCGACTTCAGCTTGTCAACAACCCTGCACTGATTTCTGCACTCTGCTGAGCTCAGAGTTGCCATAGAAATGTGTGATCCTGGCACTAAAAGCAGGCAACGACCTCAAATCAAAGTCTTTTTTTGTTTTGTTGTTGTTGGTTTTTTTTTTTTTTTTCCTCCAGTAGATTTAGATGAACTCAGGCTTAAGACAAAAACAGTTGGAAGGGGAAAAACAGATCATTTCTAGAGAGATTGAAAAACATAGTCACAAGCCGGTATTAAACTGCAGCAAAGAACCTGAACTTGGTTCCCATTGAGTTCAGCTCCAGAGCAAGCTCAAAGCCACCACTCTGTCCCTCGCACTGCCCTCCGTGCGGTACAGGACGCCCAAGGGAAGGAGATTCCACACAGCCATCAGGGAAAACCCAGACGGAGGCTGGAAGCCAAAAGCCCCAGGCCAGTGGCTGTTTGCCTCCCCAGCTCGCAATATTTAAGCACAAATTCCTTACAGCATCACTGGACAAGTCTCAGGGATTAGGTGCATGCTGAACTACGACTGGCAATTACAGTAGCTTTTTGCTAGCTGGCACATACTGTATCTATAAATTTTAGTACAAAAACTTAAAAAATACAGAAACTAGGTCAATTTGTTAACTACATATTTACAGATAATTACAATTCTTTTCACTGACAATAACTAAACTAATTGTCAGTGAAAATTCAAACTGTGCATGTTCTGAGGTACCCGTACTCAAGGGTGGGGAGCGGGGCAGGGGGCCAGAGGGGCGAGGTGGGGAAAGTTTTCCCCCCAGGGTTTGTTCACATCCGTGGGGGCAAGGCTCAGCCCTCCTGGTTCCTGGTCTCACTGTGTGCACTCAGAGAAAGCAAGGAGAGCGGGAGCTGATACTGTGGTCTTATTTTCCCTAGGACATGGCTTAAGGATGTTTTGAGGATGCCAGGCAGGTGCAGAGCCAATGGTCATGAACCAAACTGCCTTCTCCCCGCCAGGGAGCCTTCAGGTGAAGTGCAAGTATTGAGACCCACAGCTCAGTGGTTAAGGTGCTTGTTTGCTGGCAAATCTGATTTACTAAGTCCCTCTCTAACTGACAAAGGGCTCTCCTTCCCCCAGAGAAGGGGGCAGGGGTGCAGCAGGCAGCATCACAGCCCCAGCTGGCTGAACTACATTGTGCAACAGGAACCTGGGTTATCTGCTGCCACTGCTCCCTGGTGGGGTGATGTTTACTAAAACCACTAGATCTATCAGGTTTTCTTATTTTCTGGCTGTAAACAGCAAGCCCCAACCCTCCAAAGCGCCTGACATATATTCATCAAAAGACTTCGGCTCAATCGATTTGTAAAAGTGCAAACTCAAACAACCACAGCAGAGAGACAGTGACCAGCATCCCTGCCTGGGTATCCACTGCTCCTCTGTCCTTGGCACGTGGTTCTGGGCTCACTGCAGGCCAGCACTGGGGTGGGAACATCCTACAGGCAGGAGCACAGGTAAAGACAACACTACTCCTTGGGAAAGGGTAAGAATTACCCAGTCAAACTTGAGTCTCACCTAAAAGACTTGCAAGAGACCTTCCAGAAGGGACAGGGGGAATATTGCCTCCGAATTCTCCAGCAGCACAAAGAGAGCCCAGGGCTGGCATTCTGCTGAGCTGGTGGGGTGTCCTTGGGGGAAATGCATGACCTGACACTTGCGAGAACCGCTTATCCCCTGAACTGTCAAATGCCTCCCTAAGATGGGGTCTGTAGAGGACAAAGGAGAAGGTCAGAAGGGTCTTCACAGCTTGAGGAGCTGGTGGTGTCCAGCATGGCACTCACCCCTCTACTATGAGAAAGACCAGGGCAAGATTTACTAGAACTGCAGAGCAAGCACCCAGGAGAGGAACGAGGCTGTCTGCTGCTGGCTGGACTTGGGTGACGAAGCACACAGGCCTAAGCAGAATAAAGAACGGACCACGAGCATCCGTGTGTGTGTATGGATGTACAGACTGTAAGCCTGTAAGTACACACACGTGTACTTAAAATCTTCCAATTTAGCTTCTCTTTTGCTCCCTCCACACAACCTAAGAACCTCCAGACACACGCCAAGGCGGTCGGTGTTCAGAGCTAGCGGCGGCTCCACCTCAGGAATGCCAAAAGCCAGTGCCGGTGCAGTGAGCCAAGACCGTGCCGGGCTTGTGAACTTTCGTGGTGAGACGCAGCTGGGGACTCTGAGCTCAGCCTGCTGAGCACTTCACCGGCCCACTCGCCGCCTCCCCAGCAGATCCCTACATTGCCTCCACTGCTTGCCTATCGCTAAACCATCTTGTTTGCTTCTCTGCTGCCTTGTGACTTTCTGGTACCCTCAGGAAGCTCCCTTCTCTCCTTCAAAGCACACCCGCAGCAGCTACCTACCCTCTCATGCCCCAGAAAAAGCAAGCTGCAATTACCAGGGCTGAACTTCAGCGAGGGTTCAGCCCTAGCACAGCCTGTGTCCTCGCCCCGAGAGCCCTGCTGAGGGGTTGGTTTTGCTCACAAACAGGAGCGCTAAAGAACAGCAGAACTGAAGTGCCCTGACAGAAATGCACAGCATGAGGTGTGTGTGCACCTATACCCACACACACGTACGTACAGAGTATATAAATATATACAAATGAGATACCATATATATATCCAGAGAGATGTGCGTATTCAACAGAGTAATGGTAGACAGTGGTACGATAGGATTTATTGCCTCTCAAGAAATGGCACGTAAGCGGGGTTGAGGGGCTGGGAGCCTGGAGGCGAGGGGTCCTGGGGCTTTAAACAACAGCACAGCCCCAGGACTGCCCTGGCTGCACCCCCGTGCAGGTCACAGCGAGTGTGCAGTGCCCGTTCTTCTGGCGCAGGAGGGCTGGGTGGGACACAGAGCGATGCCAGCCTGGCCCCAAGCCAGGAAATCATGGCTGCAGGGAATTTTTCTGTGGAAAGTTTGGTAACACACCACGTATTTAGTTGTTCAACCTCTTTGAAGTTCACAGGCTTGGAGGGAATGCAGGTGAAACAGAGCTGTAGCCTCCATTTCAGTGCTGCATCCAAGGAAGAAAGCATGTAATGTTCAACATGGAAGGGAGAGGTGGCTGCTGGCTCCCTGGGACCATGGAAAACAAAGAAAATGTGGTCCCTTTCACTGATTTTAAATAAAATCAAAGGAAATTTGAATCAGAAAGAGGTAAAAATGCTGGCTACTCTGGTTTTTTTTTCCATCTCTGGGCTAAGCTACACCAGAACTTCAGGTCTTTGCAGAGGGGAGAGAAAAATAACCACAGAAAAGAGATTTCAGGGGTCAAGCTGGTGATTTAAAAATACCGCAATAAAGTTTGCAAGTAGTCCACACAGAAGAGTTCCCCAGTGTTAAATATGAACGTAAGAGATGCAAGAGAACATCTTTGCTGAGGTACTGGAGTAGTTTCCACAATTTACAGATTACAGCAATTTAAAAACCAAAGTTAGGGCATGACTGCAATGAGCACAACATGGAGCAATTGGCCTTACTTTTTAAAACGCTTTACTTTTAAAAATAAGAGTTTGCAAACTGATTCAGAGTGTTTGCATCTCTCTAGTGCACAGTTGTTCATGTATCTCAGAAATAAACCTGAGATACATTAAAATTCTCAACACCAAGGGCCTCCTCAAATACCTCCAAGGCACAGCCTGACCCTGAGTTCCTCTGGCTACAGCTGTGTATGAGGTGCTTCCTCTCGAGATCAGGCAGTTTTGGGACAGCTTTTCTTCCCCCAAGTACACACAGGGACACACACATTTAGACCAGTTGATCTGAATCAGTTTTTGCAAACTATTTTAATTAAAATATTAACTTGTTGGAATAGTCCAGGTCTGCACATGATATACATGTAAAAATGGTTACTACACAATTCTTTTTGAATACAAAAAAGCCAATATGGGATAGCCATCATTTGGATTCAGCATTCAGTCATGCTTGACATTACACAAATAGATGTGTTGAGAGAATTCTGTTGAAGTAGCTCAATTTAAGCCAGAGACTTTGACCAAATTCAAACCATAACAGAAGCAGAAGAATGAACCCACTGAACTTGCAGGTATAGCCTGTCCCTACTGTAGCTGCTGCTGTTTGGGATAGAGGAGCTGAACTCAAAATTCTGTGTTAGCACCATGCTCTGGGCACACCCTCCACAATCACATGGTGAACCCCAGTACAATTTTGGCCTTTCATTTTGGTTTTGTCTCTCCTTCCAAACCTAGGAAAACACGGGTACCTTTGCTAAACGAGTTTCGCTTCATTTCAACAACACTGCAATGCAAAAGAGTGACCCCAAAACATCCAATTCCACATAAAAACATAGCAGAGGAAAGGACAGGACAATTCACAAGTTACCACTTGCCCCCAGGAGCATCCAGAGGCACCTCCATGGGACCCACACCTCCTCCCAGGCTTCTGTCAACTGTTAGTACAACAAAACTCCTTAGAAAGGGGCTGCTCAAACATGTTTTGCTAGAGTTTCCATCTTCAATTAGAGTGATACGCTACATCACAATGCTAGAAATCCCAGCTGGATTCACCAGACACTGGCAGAGAGTAAAGGACTGGGAGTGGATGTTAATTTAGCTAATGAAGAACGCTGCCCTGTCGAGTACTGAACAGCAGCGAGACACTATTTACTATATAAATATGTCACGTGGACAAACACATTCGGAAAACCTCGCTTTTGAGCCCTATAAACATATTAAAGGCAAATCCTAGAGTTAGCAGCTAGTGTTTTCTTCAAGATGATTAGTGTGCAAGGAAAAACATTTACAAAGAACCCTGGCTGGTCAGTCCCCAAGACAGAAACCTTTGCCTCAAACCAAACTTCATCCACCTGCTCTTCCCGCAGTCCTGGCTGACCGAGACCGTCCTGGCACTGGCACGAGAGCATGGGGGCATCTCTGGTTCCCAGCATTAAGGGATGACAAGATGCCAACAAAGTCATTCAGTTATAAGACTCCCTGACCTTTTATCACTGTATGGATTTCATAACCTCCTTTGCTTCCTTTCAGTAGTACAGCAGCTCCAATGAGCCCTCTGGAAGTAGTGCCTTCTCACATGGTGTGATATGCTGCCAAAATATCACAGCATCTCTAGGGACTGTAAAAGTTGTGAAGCATTGCAGCAATGAAAATAATAAAAAAGGAGCCTCACATGCAGCAAGATCTACAGTGGTGATGTGGGTTAGTCATCAGCTGGGAAAGAGTCATTGGCTCAGCTCCTCCTGGTACACCATGGCAACTAAACATTTCAACAGTTGGCTACACGCTACATGTAAACAGGAAATTGCAACAAGCCAAAAAGGTAATAAATTGGTGGATGTAGTGTAATAATGAAAAACCCGATCAATGGCATTTTGTGACTATGGCATCCTTCAAAACACCTCTGGCATTTGAGACTGATTGGCTGAAAGTCTAAACATTTCTGAATGGAGCAAAAAGGACTACGCTGGGCTCCAAGAATTATTCTGATGCTTAGCTAAAATGAGATGTCACAGTATTAGCTGTACAAGTGCATTACTTACGCTCCTCTGCCCAACCTCATCTGAGCTACCAGCAGCACAGTCAGGGAGTGCCAAAGCAGATAGACCATTTCAAACATTCCTAGCCTGTTCCCCCCAGACAGGTTTACCTACAGAGTTCTCGGGAAGCTGACCAGTGCCTTCTGAGAGAACGTCACTTACACGACACGGAGCGCGCACTTGGGTAGAAGGGCCCTGTTGAGCCCTGGTGTCTCTTGGCCTGTCTTCTCACCTTCTTCCTCACATACAGCTCATTAAAAATGCCTCTTGGTAGAGGCAATACCCTAGAAATTTATCCAATTTAATGACAAATAAAAATGGAACAGAAGATCCAGCTGTTCCTCCCCTGGATGTTGGTTTAAAGGCAGCTTGCCTGGTTTTTGCAGGGTGGCAGATCGAAATTCATGGACATGGGAAGAGGTCTCCATTCTCCCTCAGACTTCCTACATGGATGGCATGATGAGGGCAGTCTGAGGCCCTTCTGTCCTGTCAGTGTGATGACCACCAGCCAACTCTTCTGACTAATTGCATATATTTCTCAGATGCCCTCCCAAGACCCCTCCAAAAAGTAAAAAAAAAAAAACCAAAACAAAAACAAAAAACCAACAACAAAACAAAAAACCAAAAACCGCCCCCCAAAACCCTGCAGCCAAATACTATGACATCCCAGTTAGTAAACACAAAACGTAATGCTTTACAAAATGAATACAATATTCCATGTGCACCCAGCTTCCACACGTCAGCACCGCACTGAGGAGGCTGCTGGGCTGGTGTCTGTAGGCAGTTTCTGTTGGCAGACAGCTCCAGTGGAATTGCCACCCTCAGTTATTGTTTAAGTTATGTATAAGACATGTGTGAACCATTGGATATTTGTGAAGTAACACTTGTGCTCCTGCTCATGCCCTGCTCCGTCCGTCCCCCAGAAGCTGTCCGCCTCAGAGCCTGGGGGCTGTTGCGGACCCCTATAGCACTACTTCGAGGTACCCCCTGCATGGGCCCCGAGGGGTGACCCCATGGCTGAGGTCCACCTTGCATTGGATGGCCCCAAGCTTGCGGTGGGCCACCCATGGGATGACCCCAGTGAGGTCCTGCACCCCCAGTAGGATTGTGGGACCAGCCAGAAGCTCCCGGGTAGCTGTGGCTGAACGCCTCGGGGGAGAGATTAGAAAGAACCATATTACTAAAACCTAGCCTCATGCTTTCTGAGTCAAAGGCTTCGATCTCGCGAGCTTGACGCTCCAGCAGGCTTCGTATCCGCTCGGTGCGCTCGTTCTGCAACGCCAGCATCTCCTCCTCAATCTAGGAAGGAAAAAAAGAGACAGTCTGTAGCAGCAGGACTGGCACAGCCTCTGGAGGACCTGTAACAGCTACTGAGGGACTTGTTCCTGCGTTTGTGCAGGAAACTGGCTCTAGATCAGATGTCCGTGGACATGCAGTCTGCTTTGAACACAAAAGGGTGAATTGTTTAAGGGTTAAGTCTCAAAGACCCACACAGGCCAAAGCATGGCGAACACCAGTTGGTGAACACCAGTTGGAGGGTGGTGGTCCCTGTTCCCTGGTGAATACATGAAATTTGAGGGATGCGAATCTGATAACAGCAGCTTGACATAGATTAATCTTCTGAGATACAGCAAATTCTACAGCTTCCATAGATGCCTACTGGGAAAGCACCTTCAGGTACAGCCTGCCAACACAGCTTATGGTGACCTTCAGTGTTTGTAGCTGAATCTAATGATGATTATGATGATGACTGCTGTTTTCTCTAGGATTCAATGCACAAGCCCACATTCAGCTTCCTCTCTAATGTTCACTGGCCAGATTTTCTTAGCTCATGTATTTATCACCTCCTATCTAGTCCTTTCCTAATTTGGTTTTCTCATATTTCACTGCCCTTATACTTTTTCTAGGGTGTGTGGCTGAAGGACACAGGCAGTGCTGTTTGAGTTGTGTGGCAGATTATTAGCTATATCATATGCAAGCTGACAAGTCAAATTTTTCCCCCATAAGACTGTTCCAAATTGGTTTCCAAGACTACTTTGGTAGAGGCACTGGGATCAGCACTATAAGTACTGAAAACACAGGACTATGGCCTCCTGACACCCATCAGACAGGGATGAAAGCCTTTCTTATTGAAATCTTTGCAGTCAGGTGGAGAACCAAAACTTATTATCTTCTTGCCAGCACTGAAAAAGCTTCTTTTGGCCTCAGTGAAAAAGACCAAATGGGGAAAAAGCAGGAGCCAAGACTTTCAGCACAGCTCACTGGCATCTCCCTGCTGTCAGCAGCAACATGGCCAAGAGGTGTTATCTGGGTCTGTGCTGAAGGCACCAGGCAGAGCCTTGTACTTGTAAGCACTCTCTTGCCTGAGTCAGGGAATATGCAAAGCAATTTCATCTGGAATTGAGGAAACAATCTGCTCCAGCATGAGTCATCTCCTGAGCCATTTGGGGCTTTCAGAAACTCCTTCTCCACTTGCCTGTTACTCTAGGTGAGTGACAGGCTGTGCACTGAGCAGCCCTACTCACTATTCCTGCTGAAAGCCACAAAGGCAGTGGAGGAAGAAGGTGCCTTCTCTAACATTAGCTCTTTAAAATGCTCTGCTTGTTTTTTTTTCCTGTCCTGCTATCTAAGTAGAATCTTCCTTTCTCAATGTCTTCAGCATGTCACCATTTTCAGTCTCAGTGACAGTGTAACACACAGGACTTGGTGCAACTGAACTTCACTGAAAGGCCTGACACTTTGTTGAAGTGACATCACTCAAACCACTCTGAAAATGAAGTGTCTGAGGCATGTGGGAAGGAAATGACTAAATCTGAACTCTTTTAAAGACACTCTTGGGACATGCTCATGCTGGTGCAATACAAACAACATTTCACATCAGTGGGGCTTGGCTACTCCCTCCTTACTCCAGGGCTGGACATAACACACAGGCTCTGGTGAGTTATGGTGATGGACACCACCAAAAGTAAAGGGCAGCCTGCTGAAAAGGAAGCAGTTTTCTATGCATACACTAACTTCTGGAATCTGGTTTATTACTGAACACCAGGAACTGACTTTGCCACAGGCTACATTTATTTGTGCATATAAATGCAGACATTCATCTTGTGCACATACCTGCCCTTTCTCTGGCTGCCAGCTTCAGTTAGCACATGCCAGCAAACACCAGGTGACATCGCTGAGGGACCCACACCAGAAAACTCACAACTCTTAGTTCTTACAAAACCAGAACATCACCTTTCCTCCCAAAAAATACCCCTGCAAAAGAATGATGTGTCTGCCTCTGGACCCACGTGTTTGCCCTTGAGTCACTGCCAAGTGACTGGAACCCCACCAAGGTCTCACTGCTGGTGCATGACCTGTGATTTTCATGTGCCAAAACTGCACATATTGCTACAGGAACCTAGGAAAGCTGAAGCACCATCAATTTTTTTGCTATTCTAAGGCAATACAGGGACACAAACATACAGAAAATCATGCTAGGTGATATTTTTATCTGTTTTTCTCTCTGTGAAATAGTATTGCTGTGCTTCCTATCCCCATTACTGATGCCAAATCCTCCACAGGGGTTCTCCATGCACAGAGACTTCAATCCTGGTACACAATGGAAGACTCTACAACATTATTGGTTGATGTGGGTTTCTTTGACTCGCTGGCCTCACTGCAGCTTGTAACACTATCTGCAATATTTGCTGCTCCCACAGAGCAGGGAGCACTGGCTCACTGTGGCACGTCCTCCCCAAGCTGCTCATGCCACCAGAGGGCAATGCACCTCCAGATAAATCCATACTCGTGCCAGGCTGTGACGGGAGCTGCGACCAAAATAACTAGCAGTGGTGTCTAAAGACAGCTACTGCACAAGAATGACACACAGGAACTCTGCTTTCACAAATTCATCTGTTTTCTGAGAGCAATTGCCTCCTTGCAGAGACCAAAGCCCAAGAGGACTGTGCTGCCTCCTTGGGGGTGCTCCCTCGCCTGGCCATGAGGTGGAGCAGTGCTCTGTGGACTATCCCAGCATCCATCCACTAGCCCCTGGAAGAACTTCAGTGTAAAGAACCTCGAGGCCACAGAGTAATCACCCTAATTTATTACACACTGATGGACAAAATTGGAAATGCTGTGTGAATGGCAATGGCTGATACCTGTAGGGCAAGTCCAAAGGGAAAACAACTGCAGGAGGAAGGCTGACAGTTTATTTCCTCTCACCAGTTTTTGGTGCATTCCTCTTCCCTTGGTTTGTGTAGGCCACTCACAATTCCACACACACATCTAGCACTGCTACTTCAACAGCAAACTTCAACAAGAAGCACCTGAATACATGTAGCAAACTAAAGCTGAGATCTGGGGAGCAGCAGATGAACCATACCTGTGGCTTTGGCTACTTGAGTTTGCTCATAAGACACATAATTTCATAGGGACATGGCAGCCTTATGTTGTTACTGTCTGCTCCCTGAGAGGCCAGGAAAGCCAATCTCCAGCTCAGAGACAGGGAGAACAGTTCTCTCTCCCTTCTGCCCAGAGAGGCACATCCCCCTCTGGCACACTTCAGGCAGCTCTATCCCAGCCAGAAGCTGTTCACACAGGAGGCCTGAGCTGGCAGAAAGTTTAGTCTGTGTGTCACTGAGCTTTCAACCCCAGAGAGACAAACACCCAAATGATCTGTGCTACTATATACAGCAAAGTAAGAGCAGTTTATCTTTCACGGATAAGTGGAATTTAAGATCTGAAATATGGAGTGTGCTTAGGATGCTCACATGCCCACTTTACCTTCTGCTCCAGGAGGGCCCGGCGGAGGGACACCCTCTGCTCAAGATCACGCAGCTCCCGATCATGCTGGGCTTCTGCCTGCATCTTGATTTTACTCTGATATGCGTTCAGCAGCTCCAATTCTTGCTGCAGCTGCATCTTCAAAACCTGGCACTCTGCTTCCTGTGCCTCATCCAAACGCAGCTGGGAAAGACAGACAATAGAGATGTTTCACCATGGGGTAACCACTGCTGACACTCCAGGGGAGGACCGAGGGGAGGGAGAGATTGGGCTGGGACATTGTTTTCTTAGCAATACAATTGGTCTCTATTGTACTTGGCTTGGCTGAACAGAGGATCTATAGTGACAAAGACTGGTGACAGTGAGCCCACAGCACTGATGCAAGTGATGCTGATGAGCAGTGGCGCCTCAGGAACCACGATCCACACTGCAGAGACCAGACTGCTGGAGGTGCAAACATCCTCAGCTCTCCTTTTCCTAGAGGCAAAGAGAAGCTCTCTTGCTCTATTCAACTGGATCAACCAATTACCTCTACCCAGGAGACTTAAGTCCAGAGCCCTGCCAATGCAGGACTTTGGGCAGAAGGATATAATGAAATAAACCTAAAAGCAACATGATAGTGAACTTTTAATCTTCCCATCATAAATGAAGCCAGCTACCCTGCCTCACAGTGTTAAATTTGTGTACAAAGTGATGTGAGCAGGATGCAACACGCAAGAATTGCAAAGAAAAGTGCACATTAAGCTGTAGCAAGGATTTGAAGCATTGCTCATGTGGTCATTCCTTAAAGAAATAATCTCTTAAAGAAGGAATCACAGAACTTTTACAACATTTTGACCTCAGATTTATGGTCAAAACTGTGGACTCCTCCATGACTCAATGAGCATCTTCCACCGGTGGCACATGCTTGGGTTGGTATCATCAACAAATCAAAATCTAAATGAGTTAAGACAGCCAGCTGCACGCTCTGTAATGATGCTCTAACAGGGATGTTTATGTTGCCACATTTCATGCAAAAGCAGTCCACTGGTCACACAGATGCATCACTTTGCATCTCTACAACAGCAGCTTCAGCTTCAGCCTGCCTGGAGGGGGACCTAGGTCTTTCCTCTGGGTTTGAACTCTGCTTTCTAAACACAGAGGAAGGACTGTGCAGGGAATGGCGTGTGCAGCAAGGAAGCAGAAAGCCTGCTGTCAGGATACAGAGCGGTTAAAATGCAAACATCCCTCTTTGGCTGAGGAACCCTGGGTCCCTTGGAGGCGACTCACAGCTTGTGTAGAGAGCATTTCATTAATGCTGTGATCATACTGCTCAGCCAGGATAGCCAGCTTCCGGGTCTGCTCCTCCTTGAGCCGTTTGAGGACAGCTTTATGTTCACTCTTTGGCGTGGTCTCCAGCAGATGGTTTCTCAGTGCTTTGTACTGTCTGGTTTGGATCTTGCATGTATCCTGAAACTGCTTCTTTATCTGTAGTTCTTTTGACTGGAAAGATGGAGGGGACACAAAGAAAAAACCAGCATGTTTCAAATGAGCGAAATATCCATTCAAATGGATATTTAGGATTACATTAAGGATATGAGTTCAAGAATCCACAAATGTATATTAACATCTACAGTGCAAGGAGGGAAGCAAAATACACAAGAGGCAATGACTACTGCTGCAGCTGCTTTGACACTGCTACTGTGCAAAACAATTAGAATACAGACACTTTTATAACAAAGCTCCAGCCTAAATACAGCTGTCTCTGCACAAAGAGCCTCACATTTGTCACTGGACTGAATCCAGTCCTGGATGTTGCTTTTCAAGAAAAGTTCTTGAGGGACAGGACTAATATTTATTAGCACCAAAAGCCATACTTACACGACTGTGCTTGTATGGCACATATATATGAACAGCACTTAATGTTATGAAAAGAAGCAGATCTGGTGCATGGGAAAGGACAGGAAAAAAAGGCAATGCTTTTTCCATTGAGGGTTTGATGAGTATAAGATGTATTCTAACCTTTGATATTATGAGCCTGGTTTTCATAAAGAAACCCAAAAAAGACTACATGTTATAAAATGCATACCACAAAACAGCAGTACTGTGTTGGTCTAGCAAACAAAACAATTCCCCAGTCCCACTGGAGGCTTACTGGAAATGGAGTTTTCCTCCCTTTGCACTTGCTAACATCTCTGTATTGTTTAGAGACATAGCTGTGATTGCACATAGGGTTGGGGGACAACAATCCTGGAAAAGGTATTGGGATCCAGCTTTGCTGTATGACCTTGAAGAACTATTTTTTTTCTTTTACCTGCCTTCAGAGCAGCCTGTGAAGTGTAACATGTACTAAGTGTTTCAAGATCCTGAAAAGCAGGGTATTCTGGAGTTCTTTGTATCTTTCTGTGGGATGGCTGGCAGGGATACTACTAACAAAGCAAAACCCAGAAGTGATGAGTGATGATGGTTAATTAATCATCAAGTTCACCATGGTAACAATAAACAAACCAATAAATAAATAAACACAAATCACTAAAATCAGACATGAGGGCCTTCCCATTGTTAGGCACCATGCTCTGAAGCACTAGAGGCACAGAGCACAGGACCAGACTCCTGTTTGAGTTCATTGGAAGAGCTCTGGGATGTGAACCAGTGAGGCAGATCTCTGTGCATGGCCAAATCAGCCCCTCCACTGCCTGCTCCTGGCACTAACTCAGGACACAGCACTTGCAGCCACCTCAAAAGGTGCAGTGGGATCAAACAACGCACCCAGCCCAAGCACACTTTGCTGCATAAAAGAAAAATAACACTTTGCTAACCTGATGCAGAGAACAGAACAAAGATGGGTTTCATTCAAAACAAAACATGTATCATGAAGAGGAATGCATCACTTTTAACCTTTCTAAATTTCACAGAAAGTTATTTCCTTCCAGGAAACCTTTAAGGTTGTTTCTCACTGCCCTTAAGGGAAGTGTCAGCAGGTTACACATTCCCATCAGGGACCTGGTCACAGCAAAACACTATCAACCTATTTTGTCCTCATTTTTTGTGAAGTCTTGCTTGGACACCAGACTGTTTACAGGCTCCCAATCCAAAGGCTTTAACAACAGGAAACAGAAGGGAGGGGTAAGATTTCCAGTCAGACTTCTGACAAGATCATTTTGACCTAGTATTGTGAAATACCAGCAAGAGGGTATTTGCATCACAATTAACACACTCGAAATAATAACAGCCGTTTTCACTGAAGGGTGAATTCTAGTTATGGGTCCTTCTGGTGCTGTCATAGAACAGACACTGACCGTTAAAAACCTGCTTCTAGGACAAAGAGCCTCACTAAATAACAAAGGGAAAGCCTGAAATGTGCCCTTGAGGGAAAACGTTGCTGGGGAGAGAAACTGAACAAATGGTCAAATTATCTATTCAATTAAGAATACTTGCCTGCATTAGTCAGAGGCAGGAGAAGGAGTTAATGCTAGAGAACAGCCTCGATAAAGAGGGGATTGTGCTACAAACCCAACGGTTGTCCAGGGCTCTGCTGTTAGCACTGCCTGTATGCAAAGGTGCAGGATTGACAGCTCAAGCCTGAAATCCTTCACTAATCACAGAACAGCCATGCAAAGCAAAGTGCAAGCTTTCCATGCTCCCTGCAAAACGCTCCAGCCCTGTCCTCCCTGGAAAAGGGAAGGGGTTGCAGAGCCTGCAGAGGTGTGAAGGCAGCCAAGCCCCTGCAGCACAGAAGTACCACAGATCCTGCTGCCCTGACAGCAGCCAGGGAAGGGGAACGGACATGCTGCCCACTCGTTTTGCACCACATCACCTTGGGGAGGCAGAACTCATTCATGCTAATCTCAGAAGGATCAACCTAATACAGCTGCTTCAGTTTTATTCAGCTCAGAGTGCAGCACAGCTTCCCTGTGAAGTCATCTGCTATTTATACACTATATCCTTGGAGATTCTCAACAGTGATCAGATGGTCCCTTGTTCTCACAAGCCAGGTTTTCACTATTTAATATTATTCTAATATTGACAAATCAGGTACAATTCTTTCTTTTCTGAAGTTATGTTTTCAAGTTGGTTATTTTCTCTGTAAGAAGATAACTTGCAGGTGGCAAAAACTAAGTCAGACAGAGAATATCATGAGGAGGAAAGATGTAGAACAACAAAGAAACCCCATGCTCAGTATGCCATACACTCATTTTGTTACTGGCACAGCTGAACACTGGGTGGAGAGAAGAAGTCTGCCTCCTCAAAGGAAATGTACCAGGCAGCTTTTTGAAAGGCCTTATACACCCTTCTCAGACACTTCAAAATAAACCACTGGACTTCTTCGGATGAAGTGAAGGCTTAAACAAAAACACTAAAAGCCTCAATCACAGAGGCCCTATAATTCTGGTCAGCCACCAGAGCTACAAGGGCAGCATGAGAAACCCAGAAGAGACAAACAGCAAAGGTCAGTGCCAGGAGCTTCCTGAGGACACTGCACTTGGCTGGCATCTCTCTCTTCCCCCTCCCCACTTGCCACCATGCCAAGCTTTAATATAAAAACACTAACCAGGTGAGTTAGCCAAGACTGAGAGTGAAGCTCATTTTGATGCACACAGAAACACAAAGCTTTTGGGTTTTGTTTTTAAATGAGACTGCTTCATTACAGAAATACTGATTTTATTTTTGTATATGGGAGAGACAAGGATCAGAAAATGGTGTAGGAGGTGGAAAAAAAAGAATACTGTGAACACTAAATGCATTTAAAACTACCCCAGAAAGAAGGGACATTGCTGAGAAGAGCTTTTCAAAGAAGAGGAGGGACTAGTGCTGCTGTGGCCTTCCTGCAACACCCTGTAATGCTGATCACCACTACGGTGCCCTTCAAGTTAACGAGCTTCAAATCACCTTGGCCTTGCCTGCACTGTGAAATGGCTGTAATGGACCACTCTTCAATGGACCACTTTTCTACTTCCACCAGCTCCCACTGGCATTCCTATACCACTGAGCACCGTCAGAGCTCCTACACCACTGAGCCCCGTCAGAGCTCCTACACCACTGAGCCCCGTCAGAGCTCCTACACCACTGAGCCCCGTCAGAGCTCCTACACCACTGAGCCCCGTCAGAGCTCCTACACCACTGAGCCCCGTCAGAGCTCCTACACCACTGAGCCCCGTCAGAGCTCCTACACCACTGAGCCCCGTCAGAGCTCCTACACCACTGAGCCCCGTCAGAGCTCCTACACCACTGAGCCCCGTCAGAGCTCCTACACCACTGAGCCCCGTCAGAGCTCCTACACCACTGAGCCCCGTCAGAGCTCCTACACCACTGAGCCCCGTCAGAGCTCCTACACCACTGAGCCCCGTCAGAGCTCCTACACCACTGAGCCCCGTCAGAGCTCCTACACCCCTGAGTACCTTCAGGCTCTTGGGCTGCTGCCGGACCTCCATGACGTGCTTGCGCCGCAGCTCCCGCTCCCGGCGCTTGTTGTACTCCAGCTGGTTGGTGAGCTCGGTCTGGTGCTGGAGCCGGATCAGCTCGCAGCGCATCTTCTGGATGGTGCTGAGATGGCGGAACTCCAGCTCCTGCATGGACTCGTGCTGACGCAGCAGCATGGCGTGCTCCAGGTCCTTCTGTGTCTGCCTTTTGTTTAGCTCCTAGCAGGAGGACAGAGGGAATTATTAGGTTCTTTGTACTTACTTGGATTTCCGTTGACAAAGTGACATTTCACTTTGTTCACAAGGGCATTTCTCTTCCCAAGGCATCTGAGGACAGACCACAGAGTTTCTTGGTCTTATCAGCAGCAGACAGCAACACCACCGGTAATTTTTCCTTCCTCATTTCACTTTTCTTCTTCCTGTTCTAGATGCTCAACAGGATTCACAGTAAGCATTTTCTGTTAACTGTTGTGTCTGATGACATTTTGGACCTAACAATTCTCCTGCAATAGGACATTAACCTGTACATTGGATGCCACAGGGATTACCAGATGGCACTGCAAAGCATCCAACCATTGTTCTACCAAAACACTTTGGATGTGGTAACAAACCCTTCTGTTTGATTTGAGCTGGACTGCAGGTGCTCCTGTGAGATGCACTTCACACAGGTGCATCCAGGTCTCATTTCTGCCTGCTCCCTTACCTCCCGAACCAGGTCCTGCTCCAGGTTATGGCGGCCCAGGAGCATCCGTCTCTTGAAGCGGCGACACTCCAGCTCCAAGTACTGCCTCTGACGCCTCAGTAAGTTGGCCTCTTCTTCTGCCTGGAAATGCTGGATGTTCTCCTTCTGCTTAGAGAGCCACTCCTGCTTCTCCTTCTTTGGAGTGCTCTGGTTTTCATTCAGCTCCTGATAATTGCAAGGTGATTAATTGTGGAATAGTTACATTAAGTTCTTTGGCCATGAACTGGACTGACCTGACTAATAAACTACTGAACTATGTTCTACTCTCTCTTCTCAAGGTTGGTGCCATCTCAGCCTCTTCAAAATGCATCACATCACATAAGGAACACTAAGGAAATACCAGGAGACAAATCACAATGGAACAGACTCAACTACAGCTTTTTTTTTTTTTTTTTGCACTGGCCAAAATATTAGTTTATGTCCAGTTTCCAGACCTATGTATCAGCTGAAAATATCAAAATGAGGGGTTGCCACTGAAAACACTTGGAGATACTGCCATACTGCCTGGTAAACATTTTTACAGACTCCCAAAGGACTGAGAGAAGTGATATGTTCGTGTCCTGTTGTTCAAACAGAACTCCAGCCACACGAAGCACATCAGAAAATTTTTTGTGTCTTGCTCGATGAGAGCACACACCCATTTTACAGTAACTCATCAAGGCACGGCTGCTCACTGAGATGCCAGAACACACAAAAATAATGTAAAGAAGTTCACAGGTAAAACTTAAAGAGTTTCCACATTTGTACTACATAGCTTAAAGTATCTTTGGTAAAAGGCTCTGCTTGCTTGAATTGCATACTAGAGATGCCCATGCAGTAATTAAGACTTGTTGTGATACATTTCAACTGAAGTATGAGACAGAACTCCTCTGTATTTCATCAGTGTTTCTTGGTGCTCTGTGATCTACTGCCCACTTAGGAAAAGATTCTATGTTATTATAAAGAGCCCACGCTACTGTAGTTTTTGTTAGATCTTTCTTGGCTCTGCTGCTCTTTAGCCTTTTTTTTTTCTCCTGGGAAATGCCTATGTTTGGGAATATTTCCCTTTAGAGCAAGTTCCAAAGTTGTGTCACACAAGTTGATGGTTGAGCATTAAATGGTTCTTTCAAAAAAATTATTTATAGTGCTTACGGTTTCAGTCACTCCACAAAAAGAATCAGGAAGTTTGATTCTACAGTTCTCTGCATTTCACAAAGATCTTGATTTTCACTAAAATGCAGTGATTATCAAGTAATTACGCAGCTTTCTCCATTAAAATTAATAGTGCTTTACAGGTATTTTCCCTATAAAAAATGCAGATAATTTTTACTGCTCTGTTCTCTTGCTCCTGTACAGGAATATCATTAAGTGATAAGAAACTTTGCTAACTGCTACAGGGAATGGCCACTACCTGCAACAACAATGTGTGAGAAAAATCTTCAAGACCTTTCATAAACGTTTTTCATTCCTTAGGATTGCCAACTTGGCATGTTTGTGGCTAAAAAGCAGCATTAAACAATAGAGAGGTTTGTACTTTCACAAGATAAACATACAGTTACCAACAACTAACTAAAAAAATAAATTCTCTTACTCAAAGGTCAAAGAGATGGAACAAATATAGTACACACAGGACTCTGCTCATGAAATGCAGAACTCACTGCAATCCTGTGGAAGATCTGTGGTGCAGTGCCACTTTTATTTTCACATGCTCACCACTCTCACACCGTGTCACACATTTCTCATTGGAGATGAATTACCTCTTTCAGCTGCTCTTTACGGAGTTTATATTCTCTCTTCTGGGACTCCAGGAAACTGTTCAATTCTTTTTTCTGTTGGGCCTGAATATGCTGTTGGAACTTCTTCTCTTCATTGGCCATCACTTTAGCCTACAGCAAAGCCAGCAGCAAGTCAGTCTGAGTCCCAATGGATTACAGCTCATGTCCAATTTCAGCCTCAAGACCCAGAACTCATGGTGGTCACCACAACATTCACCATATCTCTGGACAAGTCCAAGTCAGAGGAGCTTGTCCTCACTCTCTCCTCATTCCCCATCCCATCAAGGCACCCAGCAGAGTCCTCCTCCAGTGCCACATTCCCTCAGCACTATTGTTCAGCTAATCTTGCCTAAAAAAGTCAAAACCTTATGATAAACTATACCCTCAGCCTTCCACTGAGAGATCAGAGATGAACAAAAATCTATAATAACTGCTGTAGGCAGCACCACTTCATTATCAATTATTTAAAAGCACAGCCCCCCCATATCCATACACAACTAGACAGTGAACATTTAAGTGTAGCTGGCACATTTCTCCGCAGGCTAATCTGCCTCCACAACACTCAATGGCAGGCAATTATTGACAGCACAGACATGGCAAGAGAGAGGAAAACCCTCAGTGTTTTTTTTGGGGTCAGAATTCTAACATTCAGTACAACCCACTGCCGTGAAGGACATACCTTTTCTCTAGTTACATAACCCTTAGTGTAAGGAGGTGATGTATTAACCTTTTTCTAATTAGCAATTTGCTTGGCTCCTGAAAACAAGACATCTCAGAGTCCACACTGACTGTCATCTCTGTACCAGTGAGGGGAAGTGGACAATTCAATGTAACTAAAAAACATGGGTTGGTCTGATAAACCATAACCTCCTACCTCTTTTTCCATGGCTGCTTGATGCTTTTTAATTAGCTTTTCCATTTCTGCAGCAAAATTGTTACGCTGCGTTTCGAGATCTTTGTCCAACCTGAGGCGGTGCTCGTCCATCTCTGCCTTCAGTTTATTCTCTAATGCCATCAGTTGCTTCTGGTGCTGCCTTCTCATACGTTTATAGCCAGACATCTGCTCTCGGAGCTCAGAGTCTTGCTCATGTTCCTGCATTTGCCTTGTCACCTAGGAAGATAACCACACCGGGCCAGAGGAAGTTAATGCTGCTTAATCTGCTTTTCAGCCGTCTTCAAACCACAAAAGAAAACGATTCAGTTAAGAAATATGATTTTGTTGTAAAGAAAAGCACATATCCTAATGGCAGCAGAGCAGATTAAAAACTCAATTCTGCTGTAGAAGATAAGCTCACATGGGCTCCAGCAGAAAAACAGTACAATTGTTACAAAGCTGGTACTAAATAACGGCCTTTTAGCCTAATACAATGAGGGTGGATACATACACACACCCACAAATATTCATAATATGCATATGAAAATAAAAACCAGCTTATTACTATAAATGGTTTCCTATATTCTACAGAGCACATTGGATTTGAGACCTAAAATATTTCATATACACAAATTACATTTGCCCAGGTATCTCACTGAAGCTTTTATTAACTGACGCTAAATTATTTCAGTGACAGCATCTCCGTCAATGAAGGTAGCTCATATTGTGGTGATATTCTGAAAGCTCTGAGAAGTTGCACAGGGCTGTGCTCAGAGCATCCCCTCCTGCAGAGCTCTCCCCAAACCAGCCCTCCACGTACCAGCGACGCTGTGCGTATGGTAGCAAAGTGCTCTCGGTTGCGATAATGAGACTTGTGGCGAGATACTTGGGGAGGAGACTGGGGTTCTGATGCCCTTGTCCGAGGATCCGACTCCTCTCTGTAGTTCTCTTCCTCCTTATCAGCAAATGTTAATGTCAGAGAATAAAGAGAAACTGCGTTACTAAAGATTTTTAATTTTGGTCTTTTTATTTGAAAGGAGGAAAAAAGCGTTTTACATTCATCAGCCCTGAAAGATCCTCCTGCTGATGAAGGTATACACTGCAAAAGGAGTTCTGACCTACAACATTTGCTTTCAGAAATTTCATACTGAATTTCTATTACTAAGAGGAAGATTACTAACCAAAGCTGGATATGAGGAAAAATAATGGAAAACTGAAAGCTGAGTTAAACAGTTTACTGCAACAAAACATAAAAGCTATAAAGTAGATTTTATCAAGTCTGAAAGACAAAACCAATATCTTTGTAGCTCTGAAAGACAGAGGAAGATTTTCATTACACCCACTGCAGAAATACCTCAAAGCAAATTTTAAAACTTGTCATGGTGTATTCCACATTCTTATTTTGAGTTTGTCATTCATCACAGAGCGATTACTAGTTAGATATGATACACTAATTAACTCCCTGAGGAAAAACCTGTGTCTTTGTTGCATATCTGGGCAAAGAACAAGACATTCTAGCCACACCTATCATTAGCCACGGAAACGGTACTGCTTTGAGCAAACGGAGTGATAACCCCTCCATGGCAAGAGCAGCCCAGCTCAGAGGGCACTCCCCAGACCACCCTTCATCTGGCAGAGTTTGGAAAGCAGGGAAGTGGTTTCTGCTGCATTTTTTTTCCTACACTTTATTCATTAACAAAATATTCAAATCAAGTGCTGGAGAGCTGGGTGCTGCAGAACTGATTTCAGCTTCTACTGTAGGTCTTGACTTTAAGAGTTATCTAATGACGAGGTAAAAAGGGGAAGTCACACATCCTGTTGTCCCACAAGGCAGTGCTATGCATGTTAAGGGTAGCCACCAAACAAACCTATTTACAACCTCCCATTCCAACTCCTCCTGATAAAGTAAACTGCTTTTGAAACAATTCCATTAGTAAAATCATTTTTAGTGAATTAACAAAAAAAAATCTTCACAGCCGCTTTCCCAAGTCTCCAGGGCACACTCATATATATATATATATATTTGGGGCACAGTAATATAAACTGCAGATAATGACTTGGGAATAGGAACAGCTGACTTTGTGCCAAACAAATTCTCTCCCACTTTACACCTTCGAAGTTCTCCAGTAAGAACCCAGTGCTTACCGGCTTTAGATGAATGACAGAGCTATTTGACATCACGGTGTGGTCCCCCTCCATCATATCCAGCTCACTCTTATCATCCGAGGCATCTGGAAGACTGTTAACACTACTGCTTTGGCTACTGGCACTGATAGACATACTAGGAATGGACTGATTACTTCCCACACTGTTCACTGTTCCCGTCCTGCCCACACCATGATCTTGTTCCTAGGAGAAAGGAATTAGAAAGAAAATTCAAACCCATCCCAGTGGTACCTGTGGACATTACCAAATGGAACATTCATTCCATTTCTCTCTAAAGGCATCCACCTGCCACATCATGGTACTTTCCACCCTCCAAGCATTGCCATGAAACGTTTTTCTTGTGGGATGCTGGGGAGAGAGAGTCAGCTCTGTCAAGATTAACTGGCTGATGTCAGATTCTTTTCAGCAGCGAGCCCATTAACAAGCTGAACTCTATCATGTATCAGGCACATCATGTCACCAGAAACTGCTGTGACACCAGAATCACCTGATTCTGGTGAATCCCTGTTCAGCTGGGACCCTGCACTTTGCAGGCTCCTTTCTGTACAGAAGAACTGGAATTCAGAGTCTCCTTCTCTGCATGGTGACTGCAACACTCAACCCAAAAAAGAGAAATCAATTTCCCTGATGACCTGTTTTTCTTTTCTTTTTTTTTTTTAATAAATCAAGTAAACACCTCAATGCCTCAGATTTAGAATAACATTCTCAGTACATATGGTCAAAACAGAGGTTAAATGTAGTTGCTAAAGAGTCCTCACGAAGCCTCATAAACAGGCAAAGAAAGCGAGGATTTACAGGACTGGAAGCTGACTGTTCAAGCATGAACACATGGCACAGCTTCTTGCCAGCACTAGGCATCTACCCTGTTTGTCCTTGTTTGTGCCTTGAGGTAGCTTTATTCCAAGCACAAAGAGGGAGACAGTGTTTACAGCCAGGTGTGTAAACAGCCTCCCTTCGTTTCAGCAATATCTGAATTGTGGTTATTTAAATGACAGTCTCATTCTCTCTGGTTCAGTGATGAAATCCAGCATTTCTCTCACCTCCTCCTCCTCCTGTGTTTCCACTGCAGGGCCATTGTGGGCCTCCTGGAAGAGGAGCTTCTTCATTTTACGATACTGCAGGTTGTCCAGTTCTCTCACTGCATCCTTTGTTCTCTGAATCAGGTCTATTAACACTGTTTCGGGCCTCTCTCGAAGAACAAACATGTGCTGCAGAACACAAACAGGTGAGTGGCCTCTCATGCCTCCAATGCACATGCTTTGAGAACACAGTGATGAGCTTTACTTGGGTTTATTAGCCCTCTTCCCTGCACAGGAGGAGAACACCTTCACAGCTAACACTGGCATTATTTTTAGACTTCGCAATCCAGACAGATTTCTGAATGATTGTACCAAAAAATAAAGGTGTAAAACCCCAGAAATAGCATTTTACATGCTATGAAAACTTGCTCACTATAAACCTAGACTTCAGAGACATTATCTACTAGTAGTTTAGTGAAGGAAGAGCAACAAATACCAAATAGAAGCTAAAGATGCTAAACTGGCTAGTATCTTTAACCAAATGTTAATTAACTCATCAGCTAACTCTCAGTATAAATCCCTTTTCCTTGTTTAGAAAAGCCTGGGAATCAAATATTCATCATACAGCTCTGAGTCATAAAATAGGCTGTGAACCTTAGAGCTTGGTCCTGGAACAGTTCCCCATGTTCTGCTCTTCTCTTGGAGACATTCACCACATTTCTCTGCAAAGGTAGCTATATTTTGCCCATAGGTAAAGCAAGAACTGTCTATGTATGTCAGAAGCAGCTTTTGCAGTCTCCAGATGCAATGTGCTGTGGAAGCATGAGTCATTATTAACACCACCACTACTTTCATTTTGTTCCTTTGCAGAACTGCAATGCTGTTTCCAACATGGCACATTCCCTACCTGTCCCTGAAAAGTGGCATGCAGCTGTTTCAGACTATAGTTATGGAAGGAATCTGTTCCCAAACGTTTCATTTCCATCAATGTTCTCTTTAATTGCAGCACATTGCTCAAAATAAAACCAATCTGTAGAATTCTGAAATGGCAGGACTACACACCCACACTGAAACCTTTCCTGGATAATTGCATTTGCTTTCTGAATAGACAGTTTTCAAAGAGGCACAAGTCCTCAGAGCCATTTTTAGGTAAAACCATGCAAAAAGGTGCTGATAAAACCTTCATAAATAGCATCAATTTCCCTGCAATGCAAAAAATTTGGAAAAACAGTGTTTAGCAGAAGTAGGGCCAGGATAAAAAGAAACCCAAAATGTCAGAAGCACTGTAAAGAGAATGACAAGTTAGCAAAATTCTGAATGCCACCTGATGCCACAAAGGAAATCCATCAAAGTCACACAAAAAAGCCACTCCAACACCCAACTTCTCTGTGAGTTCTGTTCACATGTCAGCCTTTTGCAACAATCTACCCCACTGGCTCTGTCTCCAGACTACAGTGAGCCAAAGCCAAGTACCTGCAGCACTCAGGAGCACAAATGAAGAATTAAAAAAGAAGCTAAGAAATAAAGCAAGAAAAAGCCTGCAGACTGCTGAGACTTTTTCATGCCAAGGAAAAATAGAGGGAGGAAAAACTGCTTTCTTTTGCCTCCTTTTCCCCAGCAGTGGATTTCAGGTACTGCAAAAAGCACACTGGAGTGTTTTATAGCACAGAACACAGAGGGAACTAACAAAAGGTACTTGCTAGCTAATGCATGGCAGCTCTGTCAGGATTAATTATAATCACTGGAATGATTGAGTTTACAAACTACAACTCTTGACAAGTCGATGGTCATCCAGTGTCGCTTGGTGGAGTGACCTTTTATGCTGAGAACTCCAAGGCTGGCTTGGAAAGTCACCTGGGGAACACCCTGAGACACTGCAGACAGGCAGTAAAGCCAGAGCTGCCAGCTCAGGACAGCCCAGGGCACTCGCAGCTCAAAGGTGTTTGAGCATCGTTAACCATAACCTTGCACAGTAGGTGAGACAGATCATCATCACAGGGCACGGCCCCTTTTAATACCACATGGAAAACAGAAAGGACAAGCAAGCCAACCTTCAGAAGCTCCTCTGATGTAGGCCTGTCTTGAGGAATTTTCTGGAGGCAAGAATCTACGAAGTTTCGAAAATAATCAGACCTGTGTCAAGGAGAGGAAAAAAAAAATCCACCTAAGTTAACGATCCAGTTTAATTCATTAAGGAGTCAAGTTCCTCACATCTGGATGCTTGTAGCTCCTAGGCCAAGAACTATGGTTCAGTAAACCATAATTAGGAAGTTTTTAACTTTTGAAATTAGTTTACTGTATTTGCTGTTTTCAAAAGACAGTTGTTGAGGCTGGGAGGCACAAAATGTTACTACTGTCCTTTATTCTTCTGAAGTTTATGCAACAGACACTTGCCACACACAAGCTGTGTCTTCATCTTGCAAAGCAATACTCCAACAAAACAGGATTTAGAAATTGACAGTGTGGTTTGTGATAAAAAAACACTAAAACCCACAGTTTTGGCTAGCTTGGGAGCTTCAAAAGTTTACTGACCCATGAACAGAATTTTTTACAGGATCTTAAGTTCTTCCAGCAGCCTGTCCTGTTCCTACTACAGTGAAGAGTCTCAAACATATATTTAGTAATTGGTCAATTTTGTGTACTAAATGTATAGTGAATCTAATGAGAACCTTCCAGCTCACATCCTCTCAACAGGACTCCAGCCATTCCAAGAACTCAGCATGACAAAGCACTCCATTTACAGCGATCCCCTACAACATTCCTCCCTCAGCAATACTCACCATTCATTAGACTGTAGTGTAGGGGATTCATTCTGCGCTATGTGATATAAGGCACTCATTGCGTTCATGTTAAACAAAGGAGGCTTCCTTTCCGCTGCACACAAGAGAAAAGAAGTTTTTATATAGGGAGATAGTCTCATGTTGTTGCTCTTTTTATTTTTTTTTTTTTTACAGTTTACATCCCTTTATAAAGAAAACCACATCAGCAAAATCCCTACTGCCTGAACATGGAACCCCAAACCAACCCTACCCTGCAATCAGACAGATATGTTGGCATACGTCCTGTGCCATTGCAGAAGATGAAAGCCCTTTGAAGATCAAATGCCTTGTCCTCTCAAGCTTTTAAATTACGTGGTTTATCATAGTTGAGTTCTCTGACTCATTGTAATGTACTAAAATAGGAGTAAGTTAACAGTAAGCTCTATACTGGGTGTTTAGCCACTAAGCATTCTTGGCTTCATACACCCCCCCTTTGTTTTTTTTAATCTACAGTTGCTAAAAAGCTAAGAAATATTTATTTCTAGGAGGACAACAGTGATGAAGAAAAAGCTGGTTACAAGAACCATCAAATCACACTTAACTGACTAAGCACATGGGCAGGAAGTCAGCAACAGGCCAACTCTTTATACTATTTTGAGAGTTGCCTTCTCTCTTTGGCTCTTCTCTCTCTCAAGCTTGTATTACTCTTATAGACTGACACAGCATGAAAGCTTAATGAGGAAGGAGATGATCTCACTGTAACAACAAAATTGAAGCTTCATCAGAATGTTTATGGGGCAAACTTTATAAAGCTCAGCCTCGCCATAGACATTCCAGAGAAGCTGGTCAGGCCATGAGGATGTTCCTACACTACTGAAAATGCAACAGAAAACTTTCCTTCCTCAAGAAAAATAAACAAGGAAAAAAATAATGCTACTTTTCTCAGTCTGCTCAGTTCTGAGTTGAACAGTAGCACTGAACTATGAATCAGAGATCATGGTTCACTCATGGCTATGGCAGGATGGACTAAGCCCTACAAATTCCTCAGAACGGGTAGATTGAGGACTTAAGTCTTTCCTCAAATTCAGCACTTCACCTCCTCTAATCTGTCACATAACTAGTTGCTGCTATCAAGGATCAGACAGATTATTCATTAAACTATTTTAACTGACTGTTCTCTCTACCTTTTTTTTCCTCTTAGCTCACCTGAATAAAATAGACATCTTCTGGAAACCCTGAAACTGAGCCCTCAATAAAACCATTTCTAAGACTAAGTAATAATTTGAGAAGACTACCAGACACCTCATTTCCCTGCTGTCTTCCCATGCTTACTCAAAGCAACACAAATGAGCCAGGCACACGGACCAGCCTACACTGCTCTGCTGTCCTGACCTAGTCTCACCTCCCACCACGCCAGCAGCCGTAGACGAAGCCCAACACGCTTCATCCTGCAAGAACGCGGCGTGCAGGACTCCCGGGGGTGTGGTGGCCATGAGCTCACTGCATTCCTGGAGCCCTGCAGCCAGCCAAGTCTCCTTACTCCACTCAGAGCAGGATTCTGTCATGACAGTCACACCCCTTCAACTTGCTTTATATTGGCAACCAAAAAAAGAAAAAAAAAAAAAACCCCAACAAACAAAATCTCTGCTCTGAAGAAAGAATCTATTTCGCGTCCTGGAAGAAAATGAAGTTGACAGTTTGGAATGCCAGACAGCATTTTTAGCTAAACTGTGCAGTTCACATGGATTAGTGTGTTCTGAGAGCTCTCACTGCCTGGCTGGGCTGCTCCTCCATGGAGGCTGGGCTGGAGCACGAGCAATCAGATCTGACAAGGATGGGAGGACAGCCTCAGGTGCACGGAGCAGTGGTGTGCATGGGCTGCTTCAGCCAGGGCGCTCTTGCTCCAAGGAAACACCACGTGTTAAATTTAAACAGAATGCCATACTAACACTGACCCTTTAAACTCACAGCCTGCTTTAAAGGGTCTGTTCTAACAGTAATACCATCATTTCTTTAGGCTTTGAGTTTCAGGTTACCACCTCAAAATTGGACTATTCCATATCTTTTTGTTTAAAGAAATAAAAAATCATTTCAGAAGTTAAAACACACACTGAATACAGCTTTGAAGTTGTAAACTTCTCCAGAACTTCATCACTGCAGAATTTATTATTGTATGTTAAATTTTCACTGAAATAATATCAACTTATAGCACTAAATATATCTCCACACTGGTACCTTTAATGGTTCACTTCTAAAGCTGCTCAGCAATTGACTGTTTTTCAGTTCAGAAGTTAACTGCCTGTTCCACAGAATGTGAACACCCTCAGTGATATCACTTGGCCACTCTCTTTGTCTATATAACTCTTTTTCTTCAGGTAATGAAAACACCACTTCCATAAACATCAAACTGGAGACTTGGCCTGGAATTCTAGAAAGCACATTTCACTCTTTTCTCTAAAACTCAGGGCCCAGAGAAACCAGGACAAGAAAGGGAGCACAAATCTTCTGCACTGTGATTCAACTGAGTAAGTTCCAGATATTAAATAACAACATTTTAATTATTTTTTTTTCAAAGGAAATAACTTACCTAACTCAATACAGGTAATTCCAAGAGACCAAACATCTACTTTGCCATCATACTGCCCTTCATCCATGGCTAAAATCACTTCTGGGGCCATCCTAAGAAAAGAAACTGGTGCTCAAAATAGGCAGTGGAACACATTATCTTCATCAGTATGAAATAGGCTGTTTCCCTGATTTCAGCTACCATAAACAAATCATTCCCCAAGCTATCAGGCATGACAAGGGGATACTGGGAACAAAGACCAGGCACCCACACTGGTGCAGGCCTGCAGAGGCTGTGTGATGCTCTCCTGTGCTTTGCCCAGCTTTCCATTTGTGAGTATCACCACCTTCTCACCCTCCCACATTTCCAATAGTTTAGCTGGCTGACCAACTGTGGTGAAATAATTATAACATGCAGTTGAGTAAACACCACAGATTAGGTGTAAGAGATCAACAGCACACAAGGGATCTGCAAAGGGGTTGGTTAAGTGAACCTGGCCTTTCCTATGAAAGAAAAAACACTTCAGTTATTTCAACAACCAGACATGGTGAGAATACATGAATTGTTTAAACCACTGGGGGGAGTGATTAAAATATATTACAGATGATTCAATCCTACCTCTACCACTTTAGGTCAGTCTAAGCAGAACAGCAAAATGTTTTTATTACTTTTTGTGAACTACAAACACAGGGATACACAATTTCTTGGAACTCAGAGCCTGGTTACTATTGAAACTTTTTTCCTAACAAAGTACATTTTATCATCACCACAACTGGAAGACTGCAAAGCTAGCTCAAATAAGCCCAAGTATATTAAATAGCCAATATGTGATCCTTTCAATTCACAAAGCCAGAAATGAGTGAAACTCTTGGCTTACCAATATGGCGTCCCCACAAATGAGTTGGCAGGAGATGCTATGGAAGCAGACCCAAAGTCAGCAAGTTTCACCTGTCCTGGCTCTGTCAGCAGGATGTTCCCTGCCTTGATATCTCTGGTGATAGAATACAAGTGTCAGTATTACTCCTCTCCAAAGAAGAAAACTCCCTATTGGACAGACTATGAAACACACCAATATTCACATATTCAAGCTGCAAAACATTCACATTTCCTCCAAACACAAAGTCTTTAGCCATTAGGCTAATTGCTTAAAGTGGCCCTTGATTTTAGATTTTTTTGTCTTACATGTTAGTCTTAATGTCTGTCTTAAAAATGAACTTTAAATGGCACAACAGGATAAACTTCACATACAGTTCAGCAAAACCTTCTGAATCAAGTACGTCCTTTATCGAAGTTTTTTAAAAGGACTTAATGTAACTATTCAAATTCTTCATCCTACTAAAATGCAGAAGCTACTTTAAACACAAAGAACATTTGCATCCCAAACTTACTGTGTGCTTTTAAACATGTGTGTTTGTGTAAAACTAATTTTTCAAGAATTAGTGCTCTCCCTGCCCCAGTATTCTTGGCCTTGCAATTCCTACAAACTCTCTGGGTGCACTTGCTATTCACTGCTTCAGGCACAATCAGCACTGAAAAGCTTAGCAGATTTGAAGGAATTCTGCAGAAATTATGAACACCAGCTGTAAGAGACAGTTCATGTACAGATACAGAGCTTGCTAGTGTTTACACTACTATAAATCACTTGTTTGGGAGCATATGGATACTGTGAAAAGAAAATCTCTGCTTACAATGTTGATTTTGGGATGAAGGGGATACAATCAACAAAACAAATTACATGTAAGTGTGTATGAGACAGCAAAATGTAACTACTTACCTATGGATCATATTGTGAGAATGCAAGTATGCTAATCCCTGGAGAGCACCATGGGTAATTGCTGCTATTTCCACTTCTTGCAATGGCTTTTTATGAACTTAAGGAAAGAATTTATGTGAAATTCAATATTACAGAAAACAATACACTTTGCAGCATGCAAGCCAGTACTGTTAGCAATGTAGACAGAAACATTAAAAGTTCATTTTCACTAGGTTCAGTATGAGAAGCAAATGTAAAAATAGTTCACAGAGTACATTCTATAATCAAATGTAATCTTCTAACTATAAACCAGCAGCTATTTACTACCAAAGAGACCACTCTCCAACCATAAACTACATTCCTGTCAGTTATGGGACCAGTCTCCCAAGAAACTACTTGAGACTCAATATCCAGTTTTCCACTAATGAAGTGAAACCCCCAACCCCAGAAATTTACAGCAATTCACACACAAATAAATTGTAGCAACACAGATGAGAATCTGGCAGCTCAGCTTTTGGTCCTGAAATGCTTCTTGCAAGGAAAGGAACAACTTACTGGCCACGCACATCTCTTCTAAGCCAGTTCACTATAAGAAGCCTGATAGAAAAATGACCATTTAATGAAAGACCTCATCAAGCACAACCCTAGTCAACAGGCCTACAGTTGTTAGTAAGCATTAAGATCAACAGCAAGGGTTTTCAGAAGTAAATCTTGAACTGTCATGGCAGGAGAACCTCAGGAGCAATCAATAGCTGGCTGACAACTTTAAAATATATACCAAGTTTCTCCTTGGTATAAACCTTGTATTATACCTTGGTATAAACCAAGGAGAAACTAAGCACCTGGAAAAGCCAATATTCTACACAAAACCCACTACAACTATGCAAGAATTTGATACACTGCTCCTATTCACACACACTCTGGCCCCAAACAAAACTATAAACTCAAGGAAAATTCTGTGATGCTGTAACCCCCTAGTTCAGTACTCTACTTCTGACTTTCCATCAAATAAATGTGTGTGACTCACTTACCTTCTAGTAAGTCTGATGCTGATCCTAAACAATATTCCATAACAAGCTGTTATAGGAAAAAAACCAAAGTAGTTAGAAAATCTGTAATAGCAAATACACGTTTTCTAGACTTGTATGGAGAATCTAGAACTAATTCCTGGAGCACAGAGTGCAGGCTGCCATAGCAAAGCAAGTATTGCTTGTACCATAAACTCCATCCCAGCACTGCCACACTGACCCCTCCCACAAGTACAGCTCTAACTGGAATTAAGCATAACCCTCCTGTGTAAGATACCAAGCAACACCACTTGTAAGGAAGGCCAAAGCACATTCATAACCAGTTAGGTATTGTATTACATATCATATTTTATATGCACATACTTAACAGGAATGTTAAACTGCACTTAACAAGCTTATCAGAGTATTAAAGGGCTATTTAGGGATTTACTTAAGATTCTGTCCCAGCCAGATTTCAAAAAGAGAAACTAAAACTTTGCCCTACAGATTTATTAAAGCTAATTCACAACACAGTACTTACAACTTAAACTATTAGTTCAATAATATGATTTCTTTAGTATATTGAACTACAAAACTTTATTAGTGATGGATGTACATTATTTCAAATACTCAGTTTATCAAGCTAAATACACTAGAACAGCAACATTTAATCTAAGCACAAGGGAAAATTTCCTTAAATCTTGGTTCCAGAAAGGACATTCAGTTTGTTGAGCACCTGTAAGGCCCTTGGCTATGCTCATCTCAGTCTGTACAACACCAGTGCTCAGGTGCCTCCCAAAATCCAGCTGGGGAGATTTCTAAGCACCTTTAACCAAGACAAGAGAAGTGCAGAGCAGCAGACTCTTACCCATGCTGTATGCTCCCGCAGATAGCAGCCTTTGTATTCTATACTGTTAGGGTGTTTTATTCTTTGGAGGAACTTGACTTCCTTAATAATATCCTGCCATTTCTGTAGGGAATAAAAGCAACAGAAAGACTTTTTAGAACTGTTACCTTTTTGTTGTTGTTGTTACAATGTAGTTTAATTATTTTAAGAGGCAAAACTATCTCAAGGTTCAAATCGAAGTAAGTTTGTATCAACACTACGATATTCACTGCTTAACTCAGCAAACCTACAAAATAAGTTGCTGATCAATTAGGCTGTATGCAAGGATCTCTCATCAATGTAATGCTTTATATTTATATGTGTGAACAGGATATACTGATAAACAATATCTGAGCAAGTCCTCAAAAAAGAAGTGATCCTTTACTAAGGGATACCAATTCTGTTGTCAAATCAAATGCACACCCCAATCTGAAAGAGATGTGGGTGATAAGTGTCCTTCAGCAGGATCAGCTGCTTCTCTCAACTCTTGTTACTATAAAGACCTATCCCCACTAGTCACTCTATTACACTGGATGAGGTTCCCTTTATCAGCTGCCAACTATCTGAGTACATTCTTGATAATGTTTCTCTATTACTAGTTTAATCTTTACAAGGGCCAATTTAAATGAGTTACCTACTAGATAAAGGAATGGTTCTGCTGGAGAAAAAATATAAACAGATAAACAAAGCCAGGTTTATAATAAGGGGAGCTCTGTTAGTGCAACTTTAAAGCAAAGAAGAGGCCAAAATGTCAAGTTCCAATGTGTGCCTAGACACTGACATTGCTTCCCTTGGAAACCTCCAAGCCCCCCCATGTGCTGCACATCCACATCTCCTCAGGCAGGAAAGGCAAGAGTCTGAGAGTGCAACAGCAAAACTACAACTACAGAAAGTACCTTCAAAACCCAATGCAGTAGCTGAAACCATTTAAGTATGCAGCCATAAACGTAAGAGTGTTGACACTGCAAATGTTTTTGAGCAAGAGTATCAGTTCTGAAGCAAACCAGAGAGAGAGGAACCCAACACCAAGAGGCTCAAAAGCTGGTTTCCAGGTCCTGTTAATCTCTCAGCACACTCTTCCTCACATGTTGGTATGTGGGTAGTATTCACAGAGGGACAGAGGGCCCATCTACCCTAAGGCTTTGGAAAACGTGTGCCAAACCTGAATAACAATTTTAGGATTAGAGAAACACATGAAACCAGGGAACACAGAAGCCTACAAGTGAGGTAGCTGATTGACTACATTAAGCATTTCTCAACACCAGAACTGCTATAGAATGACACAGTGCAGCTATAACAAACTCTCTGACACTGGAGTGACTTAGTTGCCTTTTACCTTCAGCCTCAAAGGCTTTGAGGTACTAAGCAATAAAAGCCAAACCAAGAAAGCACCATGCTAAACTTCTACACTGGGAAGAGAGAAGTGATATATTAGTCAAGAAGTATTCATGATTTCCTGCATAAAAAAAAAAGCTCCAAGATCACATTAAGAGCACAGTACTACATTTTTGAAAGGTTTTAAACCTATTCTTAGTATAAAATATGACCTTATTTGGGAGAATAATTGTTCCCACCAATGATAAAATCTTATTATGAAACCAAATTATATCAGAATGCCCTTAATCAATTTTCTTTACATAAGCTCAATCATAACTCCAGTGAACTTCTGAACAAAACAAATAAATATGGATGTAAAATAGAAAGTGTTTTAATCCTGGTCTTATTACTTTCTTCAAAATAAAGAAACATACGCATTGAAGACAAACAAAAGCTATTTCTGAAGCATGCACAGTTTGTTTCATTCATGTGAATAGAGTATTTATAGCTCACAGTAATTAAAACAGTAGGACAAGTAGCAAGTACAAATTATTCTTTCATCAGTACACAGTTAAACAAGTCACCGCAGCGACAAAACAGAAACAGGCACAGCAAATTTAACTCTGAAGCTAGAATTCAGGACTGCTGGAGAGACACTGCCACCTCTACCTCCTACACAGACACACACACAGAGAGGAAGGAATAGTTCAGCTCCTTGGAGTGCAGATGATCAATACACAAAAGGCAGGCACAGAAAGCAATGAGCTGTTAGTCGAACTCATCAGAGCAAGACTGCTGCTGAGATTGGAGGGAGGGAACCATAAATGCTTTGGACAACACGCTTATGAGAAATACTTCTGCTGAAAAACCATGCCATGATTTGATAGATGTTATTTACCAGAAAAAAAAATCAAATTAGCTGTTCCTGTCACCTTGGGCTTTTCAAGAATCTGTATTAGCACTTAAACGTTTCAAGTATAAAATCAGCTCTCACTGCTAAACATGCCAGGGAAAGGAGACACATCTGGGGTGGCCATGAAAACACTTAATGTCTAAATCTCAGAGGCCCACTTCTGGAAAGACTGCCCACCCTTCTGCAAGGACTGCTTTAATCCCTGGCTCTGGCAATTCTTCTGGAATTATGCTGCTGTTCAGATTTTCACACTCATTCATTCACCACTCCTTTGCCTTTGTTTCAGCTGCTCGTGAGCACAGTCATTCCAGGGAGGGATAGGTTCTGCCTCACTACTTGGTACAAGCAAGGCTCCCCTGGAAGCTCTCACTACTACATCCTTTCCTATAATTCCTCTGTCCTGTTTTTTTGGAAAGGTATTTAAAATGGAACATTTAAGGGCAGTAAGACACCAACATACAAATCTATCATTTTACTTTTTTTTCTATCTATACATTTCTGTGGTCCCAAAAAGAGCCCTTTGAATCTCAAAGAAGAAACTTCCACCTCTCCTTTCTCAGGAGCAGATTACACAGAAATACACTGAACAGTAAGCTGATTTGTTTTGTTTATACAATACTCTTATTCACCTTTACAGTTACAGAAAATATTTCTGCTGCAGGAACCCAAACTAACTAAAATCATCCCAATATAGTAATTATTTGCAATGATCAAGGTTTAATATACAACATGTTCTACATACCTCATTGGACTGCTTCCCACTATATGACATTTTCTTGATGGCCACCACTTCATTGGTGCGCACATCACGTGCCTGCAACAGGAAAACACAATCCATCAGTTCCTTCAGGCCCCAGCTTTCCATAAGATGCAAACCACACACAATCATAAAATAATCCCCATTCTTAGTTAACAGTTGCAGAGCATTAAACTAAAATATCTTCCAAGAGGTGTGACTGCTGCAAGAATTAGAAATTTCTTTCCAAAGCGACAGGGAGACAAGGTGTGACATTTTTCCATGCTCAGCATCTACCAAGTCTCTGCAAGAGTCAAGCATTGTGACCTAAACTAAAAATCACAGCTAATAAAAGCAGCTCTGATTCAAGTAGAAGGGATTTCCTTCCCTAAATCAGCTTCTCTCCCTGCCCAGGCCCATTCCACATGAAACAGAAGCAAGGCTCAGCCACCCAGTTCCATCCAAACCATATGGAAAGATGTCCCATCATGCACTGGAGATAGCCACCAGTGTCTGGAGCAGGTTTCCCCCCAGTGCTCCCAAAAATTAGTTTTTGTGTCTTAAAGGAAGGCAGATGATATAGAGAGACATGGCAGCAATCCAAGTGACCCATCTTCAGATGAGACTTCTCAGTTTCATAGTATTGTTATTTACACTGCACCATAAATGTACATAGTTTTTCACACTTCAAAGGCAAACTTCTCGACTTCAGACAGCAACAATGCAAGGCAAGGACTAGACAAGAAGCTTTGTTTAATTCAGCACCAAAGCAAGGGCTCATTCTCCACAGCAGGAGAAGAGGCAGCACCTTGCAGGAAGGATGGCTCCAAATAAGACCCCAGATTTCCTGTTGGAGATTTCAGCAGCACAGGAGGGTGGTGGAGGAAAAGACCTCTGAGTCTCTCTGATAATAATAATCAACTTGGACATGAAGCCAAATGATATAAATCAGAATAATGTGCACCACAGCACTCACAGATGACTGATGAAAATGCTGATTTTAATATATTTGTACTATCAAGCACAGCCTACCAGAACATGGATTAATGAAGTACTAGGGCTCTGCCTTTTGTAAAAAGCTTTTTCAGTCATGTTTTAATTCTGCTGTTCATTAAAGAGATTCCCAGAATTCCCTGTCAGTCTTTATTTCAACTGGCTACGATAAGCTTGAACCAATACTATTTTTACTTTTCTTTCTGTTTGAGAGGATCCTCTCACTGATAGTACCTGTAAAGTTGGGGGGGGGTGTGATTATTTTTGTTGTTTGAGACAAAAAAGTTGGAATAAAATTCTGACTGCTAGATCTTTACTGACTAAAAACAACCTCTAAAACATTCAACTGTGTGAAGAACTGCCAATAAAGCAGGGAAGCAAAATACTACAGTAAAGCAGAAGGAACCCAGCTCTAACAAAAGAGAGTGGGTTATTCTTCTGCTCCATCTGCAGTGTTCCAGTGTAGTAGGTTTCCTGTGTCAAGCAAAAGCTATTATTACACTGCAGAGCAGGGAGTAGGGTAAGGATAATACCAAAAATGATTCAGAGGTGCCAGACTTGCAGTTTCTAAGAAACTAAAACCATGAGGTGAACCAGCAAAATTCATATCAATTATAAAAGGAAAAAAAAATAAAAGGAACTTTCTGCTATGAAGGATGCAACAGAAACAAAGAGAGAGGAGTAAGATGAATATATATCACCCATTGGTGGGATCACTGCTAAAAGGGAAGGAAGATGGGTACAACTATCAGTGAAACACTGAACTATCTTAAATAAGGTAAGGGAGATTTCAGGATTATATGGATTTTCTATTGGGTAATTACCCCCACGTCTATTTATCAACAACATTTTTTGGTGCAGGCTGTATGCCATGAAAGCTGCCTGCAGAGGATGCTTGGCATCAGAAAACCCAAGCAAACACCTGACAGTGTGCTGAACACCTACAGTCCTGGAGAGGGAGAACTGTCCTGGCTGACACCCCAGTAATACTAAAATCACGGAGTTGCATTTGCTTTTTTTAGTTTCTCTGTGATGTTGGATAATTGAAAAACAGTTCTCAGACAAAAGCCAGGAGGATGTGCAAGGCCAGCTCCCTCTAACCATCCAAATGAGCAAGGCTTGTTTCATGGCAGACATGTATGCACATATATCCTGCTTCCCTCCAAAAACTCCACACAAAGGATCAACATCTGGTGACCAGAGTAGCTTCAGCATTGATACAGGCAAAGTATGCACAAAGAAGAAGTGGATATGTCACTGGGTTCAGTAACGCCATTTAAAGCAGTTATTAATTATAATCCAATATTATGTTAATTAGAGAAAGTGTAATTGTTTGCAGTAGCAGAATCAAAATTTTGTTAAGTTAAGAAGTTTTATTTCTAGCTTTGTAGAGGAATAAAGTACCCAAGAGACAGACTCCCCTACGTTTTAGTTCTTCATGATTATTTAATTCATATTAAATTTCCCTCTCCATGTTGTCTCTCTGATCTTTTGGGCTTCTGTTTGAAGGATGGGGCACATTGCATGGAACAATTTCAGATTCAACATCTCAGAACCATTAGTAGTAAAAAAGACACAACATAAAACTTACAGGTTTAAACTTCCTAACACAGAAACAGCAACAGAGTGTCTTTATCAGAAACCCTCTCTTGACAGAAATGAAGCCCCTACACGGGCTGGGGTTGTGTGATGCACTGTCTTTATGCAAGTGCCAAATCAGAGGTGCTTTCTGACAAAGAACCACAATCCAAATGCCAGCAAGTAATTGCACTCTATAGTGAGTAAATACCGATCTGTAATGAACTGGTGATTTAAAATGGTGGGGGAAAAAGAGAAAGAATGGCTAGAAATTAACGGCCTGCGAGTTGCAATTGCTTTGGAGATGGAGCTGGTAATGGGCCATCGGCCCTTACCACAAGGACAAAGTTCAGGCAGGCTACAAATACCCCATGGCAGCTTGCTGCTGGTGTTTGGGAATGCTGTTTGCTTCCAGCTCACAGGCTATCTGCAGCTGCAGTATGGGTTTCCAGAGCTGCGTGGTCCATGCATGCCTCTGAAAGATAGTGCTCCAAAAAAATTCCATAATATTTCTTCAATAATATTTCTACATAGCAGGAAGACAGATTTGTCAATTCCCTGACTTGATACTCACTCTTTAAGCAAAGTGAGTAAACGAGGTGAACTTAAGGCCACAGGTGAGTATTGTTTCGTTAGAAAACACTTCCTCCCCCAGATCTGTTCCCAGACAGTGGTGGCTCATAGTTTTAAGCAGGGAACAAAATTAAGAAGCTTTTCCTAATTAGTTCATCTGTGCTGCATTAAATTTGTGCTGGAAGGTTCCCAACATGGTCTGCTGCAATTATTAACACTGAATAGGCATCTCATAAAATAGTGACACAAATGGCTTTCTGAAGGAAAATTGGCAGGTTTGGCCACACCTCCTATAATTATAAACGTGAAAAGGTTTTTTGAGGAAAGTGTTTTTTAATGAAGGCCCCACAATATTTGGTTAACACACAGCAAGCTGCACTGAGGTTGCCATGAGGATCCTGTTCATGTCAGGTAAGTATTATGCAGATGGATGCTGGGATTCTTGCCTGCAGTAGGAATGGATGTGACAGGACAAATGACAACAAAAGCACCAACACTCAGGTGTCAAACATAAAGAATGGCTTTAAGGGAGCCTCGGGGTATGCACAAAGGGGAAGAGAACTCAGTTTCTCTCAAGGAACAAGAGGTGATAAGGAGATGATCAGACCAAGAGAAGTGCACTGCCAGTCAGAATTGATGGAGCAGAAGTCCACGTTTTAATTTGCACATAAATCCCTGCTTGCAACATAATGATGCACCTAAAGGGCAAGGACCGAGTTTCCAGGGTTTTTTTTGTATGCAAACATCTTGCAGAGACTACAAGATTGTGAAAGGATTGAGACCATACAGACACACAAGATAACATCTCTGCCCCAAACACCACACAAAAAAAGTCATAGTAGTTTCTTTACCTCATTATGCTCAAAAAAGTCTACACCCACAGTTTAAAAAGAAACACAGCTAAAATTCACAAGTCACGGTGCTACTTACAAAATAAACTGCTCCGAAGCTTCCATGGCCAATCTCTCGGAGATCTGTGAAGAGCTTTTCTGGATCTTCTTTGAAGAAGAGCTCTGCAATTTCGGGGTCCTTCAGGCTGCCCGCTCGGCTGGTTGATGGCATCCTGCTGGGCAGTCAGCCGACCGACTATCTGGGTTTAAAGTGCTGCTTCAACCCTTGGCTCATCTGTATGAATGGAGCCTCTTCAGCATGGATTACTGCAAGAAAAAGATTGCAATCCTTCAGTGATTATCCTCTGCTCAAAGAGCCCCAAACAAGCCACAGCAAAGCAGCTTCCACTTCCTCCAGAGCAAGCAGCCCTGGTGCGTGAAGCAACACACCCTGTGTGCCGGGATATTGTCACAGCCCCACTGTGACACCAGTCAAGCACTTCATCTAGGACAGAAACCAAAATCAAAACACAAAATGAGGCGCATTCCATGCTGCAGCATCTGCTCGATCACCTGCAGAGCAGTCAGAGAATCTCTGACCTACAGCGACAACCAGTTCATCACCAGCGAGTCCACATTACCCCGACACCCTCCCTCTGAAGAGTTACACCCACCGTGTCCTAAAAAATTGTTCGGATTTTGTGATGTCTATCACAAAGTGCCTGTTCTTCAGAGCGTTACTTGCCATCCCTTTCTTCAGAGAAACAGCACCCAGAACAGGAGACACCCGATTCACACCCGCTGCTCCTCCTTCTGCTCTGCTTCAGCAGAGGCAAACGCACATTCAAACTGTGATTGGCATGTGAGACAGTGGACAACAGGCCACTGGCAAACACTTCCTTCAGAGGAACTTGCAACTTCAGACACAACTGGGAATGTATAAAATTCCTTCTGTCTGCACCATGAGTTCACTTTCATTTACTATAAGCTTTGTGTCTTGGAATCTATCCAAAATAAAAGTGTAATGTTAAGTCGTGCTAAAATCTTACTATATCTTTACAACAGGTGACGCCAAAAAAAAACACTACAAATAAAAAGCCCTTTTCCTCTTAAAGGGAGGTATTAGGATTTCCTATCAAATCCCTGAAAATTATCACTAATAAAAACAATTCTGTCACTGGCAAACAGTTAATCACACATCTTGCTTCTTTCCAAAAAAATCTGTCTGGCCAAGACTTGTGCTTTTTAAATTTCTATTTTGTATCTCAAATTTGTTTTTTAAAAAAGTTGGAGGTTTATTTCCATTATGATGATGTGAAAGACAACAAGCATGAGTTTAAACAACACAGCAGAAGGCCCTGTCCATTTCTCCTCCCTTTCTGGACACTATAAACTCCACCTTTTTCCAAGCCTCTAGACCATCAATGAATCATTTGTTTTCCAGTCCCTGCAGAGCAATTCCTGCAAGGATGGAAAAAGACATATTCCTGCATGTTTGTGCTCAGTGGTTCTCTTCTCTGGAGAGTTGCAGCATGTGCAAGTCCCACAGCCTGCCTGCTCCTTGTCGTCAGAGACCTCCCAGCATTGCTGCAGAGCCTGGCTGTGAAACACAACCGAGATCTACCTGGCTGTAAACTCCACAGGAGTCTCCAATTTTTCTGAGGAAGACATGCATGGGAGAGAGAAAGCACAGAAAGGAAGCAAAATCCAGCATTTTCCTCCAAGCAGTCAGCATTCAAAGAGATTTATAACGCAACCCAGAATGTGTTTCCATGATAGCCCGCTCTCGGGGGATAAGGAAAAGCTGACACTGAAATCCCAGTGGTGGACCAAGTAGGAGAACACATACACACATACAGAAAATATGCAGTTGCTCACAACTCTGCCACACTGCACTGCTGAGCACTCACACATTTCCTACGATGCAGGATCACTGCAGGAGCCTTGGAAGAACCAGCATCTGCACACAGCTGCCAGGGAGGTCGAGTGGGATGCACACGAATGGGACTGTGATATCCCCACCTTCCCTTGCATAACACCCTAACTAATACCGTGTGGGAAGGGAAATAATTAGCTCTAGCTCAGCCCATACCTGAAGCACACTACATTTATGAAAGCTGGAGGAAAAGTGGGGTTTTGTTATTTTTCCTTCTTTTTCATATATCAACAATATTCCACTTGATTCCAGCTCTAGCAAGCCACATAACACTGAAAGACAACTGTTTCACGTTTACAGCCCCCAACAAAACAATAGACAAAAAGCGTGTCAGAAAAGCAAGAGAAAGGAGCTGGGGGAAGGGAGCTGATAACCAGAGCACACTCAGTATTATTGAGGAATGTTTCTTGGATCGACGGTAATGATGTCATGTTCCATCTTTTAAGAAGCATCAGATTCTTACAAAAAGGACATTGTTGTTCAAAAGCAACTGCTGCAATCCCAGAATGCCCTTTTCCCTACATCTGTTAGTCAGAGGGGCTAGGCTTGGATAAACCTGCTAATATGGCCAAAAGTCACATGTCCCCGTGAGCGGGCGTGCGTGTGAGAGCCAGCGCGAGGGGAAAACCCGCAGATGAGATGGATTACAGCCTTCTCCCCCTCCCCAGCAACCCCCCACGCCAAACCAGCCACCAGACTCTTTCTTGGCGTCCTTTCTGAGCATGCCTCTGAAATGTCATCAACAGGAACATTTCTTCCTGCAGCTGAAACTCCTACCAGGCCCATTGACAACACACAGAGGCGTGGGATGGGACAGAGCAGAACTCCTCACCTACCGTGATACACCTTAAAATACACTTTTCCCCTTTTATTCTTGAGAACATCAAGAAAAATTTCATTATCTTTATCCTTGGAAATAATTGCTGCTTTGAAATGCATGAGAAAAAAAACGATTAAGTATTAAAATCTATTTAACAGAACAGTCGCAAACGTGTACATGACACTGTGCTTATCATCTGATCTCCTCAGATGGAGCAGTAAAAATGCATTAATGTAAATTCCATCCATAAGAAAGCTTTACACGGTCTCGCTTAATGAAGTGCTCCCATTTTTATGGATGCTACAATATTAAATTCCCTCTTCTTTTTACCCAGACAACAGGCACTGCCTGCCAAAGCCCAGCACTGCCAGCAGCAGAGCTCTGCCTCCTGCCTTGCAGTAATGACACCTGAATGCTGTGGGGAAATGGAAAGCAGGAGAAGTGGCACACAAAGCAGCCATTGCATTATTTTAAGTGTATTAAAAATACAGGCGAGACTTAGGATTAAAACGAAAAAATCAACCCTACAACTAAACTGCCCTGAAAATTAAATCACATACCAGTAGGCAGCCGGTTTTCTGAAGTACAGTCAAGTTGCACTTGGGTATTTTACATTGTTCCACCAGTGCAGTCTATTCACTGCAGGGTTTTTTCATTGGTGCAGCTATACTGTTAAATACAATTGTTCCCAGTGGATGAGACTGATCATCTCACTTTAGATCAGATCAGGCTGGATCCTGGCTCTGGCCAAGGGACAGGCACTTCAAACAGGATGTGGCACCCTCTGACTTTGTGTGACTACCTACAGGCCACCTTGCAGGCTGCTAAAATTAGAAAAAATAAACCCACATTTTTTCCTAAGTGTCACTCATACGAAAAGAAAATATTGCACTGCATAAACACAACTACCAGGGACTTCACTCTTAACCAATAAGGTGGTGTAGGAACATGAGAAATATTCAAAGCAAACCAGGCAATAACGAAGGCACAGGACTGGCCCAGCTCTATTTCCACATAGTAGTCTGAACTCACTACACTTAGTGGCTACCATTACTGGTGTAAATGACACTGACTACAGGCCAAAATGTTTTATCAAATTACTTTCATCTGAACAACTATCAGTCAGCAGAAACCGCATGCACACATCCACAAAAGTCTATGAATCGATAAGATGTTACATCCCTGTAATTATGGCTATATTAAAGGTACACACACACCCCCTGAACCTCTGACACAAGAAAACTGAAGATGAGGAAGGGATAAGACCTGTTCTCTTTGGAGTTTTCTGCCTCCTGCCATGTCATCTCAAGCTCAAGTTAAGACCCACCCCTGTGACTAACATCCCCTGGGATGCTGCAGAGTAGAACAAGCAAAGCTCGAAATGGTCAGTTGCCATAATTAAAGTGCATATTTCAGTCCTATGCTACAGAGACCTGAGAGAAATGAAAATCTGTCCACACTGCACTAAACTCTCTGACAGCTGTTAGTATCACAGATAACCATTTTCAGGTAATACACACCAATGTACTAAGAGAATGTGCTTGGCCTTCCCTGCAGAAGGGAAGGGAATCACACACTAAGATTATCACCTGTCCATATTATTTCTCAAGTTCCCATTCAGACCAACTCAATGAGTGACAGTGACTAGAAGGTACTTGGTTACACTAACCATGAGATACAGTAAAGCATTTTTAGTTCCTTAAGAGGGTTCAAAAGTTTGCAGAAACCAAATTTCACCACACGCTTGTAGATGATTAGCATCAAAGAGCAGCACACTTTATCCCTACAAATGACATTTCCAGGAACTAACACATCCAACAAGAATATGAGAACCAGAGCTAAACAAATATCATGTGAGCACAAAATGGAAACAACAAACAGATTTCTGCATCCATCATGCTGTGTCTCCCCATTTCACTGGGAACAAGAACCACACAGATTTCCACAATGGCTACAGAGGCCAACAGGAAAGCTGTCCTCTATTACTGAACTATAAACAAAGTTATTTACAATTTGAGACATAAATCTTGTTTTATGTTATAGTCATCTGGTATCCCATACACTTAGCACAGTAACATCTATAAAAACTTCTCTTTGCTGTCAAACATTGCTACACTGTGTTTTTCCCTCACAGAATATATATGACACTTTAAAAACAAACAAACCAAGCAGGAGACCAGTTACAGCCCCTATGATCATCACAGCTGACAATAACAGCAAAGACTAAAAAGTGAATATTCAACACAAAAAACTACTGGTTCTTTGCAGATCTTCTTACTCAAAGTAATAAAACAATCAACATAAACACCCTTCACACCACTAAAAAACAACTCCCCACCACAATATAACTTTATTTAGAAACTGATATTTAGATTTTTTTTTTTTAAAGAATCTGCACTGCTGGTAGTGCAAACAGTTGCTAAATCTTAGTGTAATTTTCTCTGGCATGATCTAATGCACAAGCATCAAATAAGATGGGGAATGAGTGTCATCATACAACTATCAAAAATGGGAAAAGGGATTTTCTGTTACTTGCATATGGGTCAGATCCAGGGAGTGTATGAAGCTGAG